AACAGGGGGCTCCTGAAGGCATCTTTAATAGGGTTCTTGATGTTTTTTTGGGAAAAAAGGAACTTTTCCGCATTTGTCAGCTTCCAAAGTTGCTGGAGTGATTTTGGCGACATGCACTGTGCGAGAACAAAAGTTCCCTTTGCACTGTGAAATTTTTGAGATTTTGGCATTGTGCAATAGACTTTTTCAGCTGACTTTTTTGCCACTCCAACGACTCTACAAACCGACTGATATCCCTCAAAAAAAGCCCTCTTCCCTCCCTATGTACCTTACAATTGGTCCCTCCCCGACTATGCCCTCAATATATACAATCATATTATTTCATCGACTCAACTGTTTTCGACCACAACCCGACGAATCACACGATCAATACGATCAACATCACATTTCTTCACCACAAACAACCCCCCACATCATTCGCATCCCCCATCAACAAACCGCACAGAGTGATAGGGGCGTCAAGCCGTGTTGTTGTTGGAACAATGTCGAAAACAAAAATACGGCAACGCCCCGCGGGCCGCGTTTTTTGTTTATTTGTGCCCTTGTTTTCCGGAACCCCCGGAGTGCACAACATACGCACTTTGTTTTTGCTTCTGATTACTGCACTGTTGGCGCTCAGAAAACGAACAGAGGGCGGGCTTAGAGCGCTCCGAGGACATCCTGCGGGCGTTCGGAGATCAAGCAGGCTTGCAGGGAGCGGATCAGACATCTTTGAGGACAGTATGGTTCTATCAGTGATGTTTTGAGGTCTTAAGATATGACTGACTGGTACAGGGCTTCTCAGCAATGTACTGACTACAATGGCGGTCCAGCGACAAAAAACGTACCATTTTGTATCCGGGAAGCATTAAAAATGTAGCAAAATACTTCTCTCTCCGCGTGAAAAAACCCGGATTCAAAAGAGCGCTCTTTTTGTGAGCGAAAGGGCTCCCTTCAAAGCGGAGTTTTATAGTTGAAGAGGGAAGCATTTTGCCGCATTTTTTGAGATTTTCCGGATGCAAAATGTCGAAAGGCCCGACAACCCAGCAAACGAGACGAGACGCTCAAGAGTCAAGTGATTTATTCAGTGGAAAGGAGGCCGTTTTATAGGGAAGCCCCACGTGGGAAAGCACAATCAAATTTGAATAAATGTAGATCGTTCCTCGTGGGAAAATCCTCGAAGCTCAGTCGTTTTGCCTCACACAAAATGGTAGGTTTATTGCCACTGGATCAGGTCCGTCATTGTAACTTGATCACTGCATCCGACTCTACACGGCCTTCTACGTCGTCAAGATTTCCCCAAAAAGAGCTTTGTTTTCTCATTAGAATCATCCCCAAAAAGCCCCTAAAGTCTCTAGAGACCTTATCCCTTCCCTTCATCCCCAATAATAACCCCCCTATACCCCCACCTATCTATGCGGCCCCACACTGTACGCCATAGATCATGTCTCAGTGAGCAGAACAACAACAACATCAATGTTCGGAAGATCGCCGGGATGCATACGCTGAACCCTGCCGAATATGTCCTTGGGTCGATTAACTCGCGAAAAAAAATATTTTCAGATTGTGTTTTGAGCGCACTTTAAGATGGGATGTTTGTAAACAGCGACAACCTTAAGTGCAATAACAGCGAAAAAACAAAGCGCACATCTATCGTCGGTACATGTGGGGATGACAGGAAGGGATAGGGAAAACGTGGCCAGAACGTAGTCGTATAAACAGTACAGTGAAGCGATTTCAGGGGGAAATTCAAGGAGGAGGATGACAAATGGAAAATTGTCCATAAAAGGAAAGTGTGAGGCTTAGATTGTTTTAAAATTTTGAGCACATTTTGAACGTAGGCTACGTATCAATCTCTGAAAGTTTTAGCTTGCGCTTTAAAGCGGCAGCCGAAATATTCAACAATCCTTGAAGGCAAGAGAGTACGCAAAAACGGAGAGCGTTAGAGAAGAAAACACTTTTTGGCCATATCTTTGCCAGTTTCGTGCGGAAAAAAATAATTTTTTGTGGAAAGATTATGGCAGAAATAGACATAAAAATTTTCATGTAAAAAATTGAAAAAAAAAATTTTCCAACTTTCGACCTAAAAATCTCGGTCTTTCTGCAAAGAGAAAGCTAGAAATTTTACATTGTTCTTAGAGGAATGTAATTTAAATTTGCGCCAAGTTTCATCACAATCTGGGCGTTGCCCTTTGAGCAATTTCTCCGTAAAATTGACTGGCGCAATCTCATGATTCCATAAAAATTCGCTAAAATGACCCCACTTGAACTAGCTGTTTTTCTCTTTCGAAAAAACGCCCTTTAAAAAATTACAAAAACACCCCTTCTCTCAGATATAGTCCATAAACAACTTCCACACCTGCCTTGGATTTGCAAAAAAAACTCGGTCCCAAAAAAGGTTCAAAAACGGAGAGGCGTCGGTAATCGAATTTTTGGCGCGATAAAAATAGCGCGGGATTGATTTTTGGTCGGATCACAGGTGCTGCAAGACGACGCGCACTCTCGCGACCCGGTCAATTGACGGATCAGAGGGCCACGGAAGACAACGGGCCTAAATTTGGCGGGAATCCGCCAAGGTTGAGGCGATATGCAAATGAGTGGATGGACTTGGGTTTGAACGCGTTGAGGAGGTACGGTAGGAAAGGGTAGTCAAAGTTTTGCCAAAAAATTGTAGAACGAAAACAAAAATATACATTTTATTGATGGATTTCGCACCACGACTTTTTGGGTCGACGACAGTTCGAAAATCAACACAAAATTGATCGATAAAGGGGTGTAGAGCTGTTGGATACCCAAAAAAAGTTGTTGGAAGTGTTTACAAATCCTAGAAAAGCCGTTAGATTTTCGGCGGACGCCCAGCGAAGGCTCGGCGGAGACTTGGCGAACACTTGCAATATGTCTACCTCATCTAATTTTAGCTATTGCTAACGCTAGTTTTCTTCATCCTAGGCTATTGTAATATATAAAATACAAAAATTTGTGGCAAAAAACAAAGATCCGTAACTTTGATCTTGATGTGAGTACATGTAAAATACTTCAAAGTATGTAGGTGAAAAGATATCCTGGAACCATACTAATATTATTATTTCAACTAACTAAGCCTTCTCCTAGCCTCTCCCATGCATACAACGACGAACCGAAGTAACCCAAGGTATCGTCGACCGCAACAATCGCTGACCCGAAAAGTCGTAGTGTCAAAGATTTTTGTGTTGACAGAGGTTTATACTCCCTTAAAATTGACCCTTGGAAAATATAGAATTCCTCGTTATCGGGAGGTTTTGTTATAGGAAGATTTGTCTTACGGGGGCTCCGTTTTATTTCAAATCTTTATCAACCAAAAAATATTGCTTTTTTAACACAAGATTGCCTATTTTTCAATCTACCATCCGCTTTTCATATAGTCACGTATATACCAGCCCACAATAAAAAAAGCTCGCCTAGTCGCCTAAATCTTTGAAAAATACACCCACCTGTTGACACCAAAAAGCTTCTCTGCATTTAGGGAGATAAAAACACCCACCGAGATCTTCGTTTTATGCGATAAAGCCATCTGTTAAGGCTACAAAACAGAATAAAGTACAAAATCTTGTCTAAAGTCTTACAAAATTACAATTACATTTTTACAGCAAAATTGTAGATCATCTTTGTAAAAGAATTGTGATATTACGCAGTAATTGACGCACTTTGTTGGCTACATGACGTGTAAAATGTCTATTCGTACGTTCAAGGTGGACAGTTGAACCTAAACTGCAAAAAATACGAAAAGATGCCCAAGACAGGAATCGAACCTGTGTCGCCACGGCCACAACGTGGAGTACTAACCACTATACTACTTGGGCCGGCGGCGAAATGACTCGATTGCGCTTTTGAACCGTCTCCTTTGTAATGAGAGGGATAATAAATGAAAGAAGAAAATTTGTGGAGGAATATGATTTTTGTGGAAGCTTGAGTCAGCTACGAAGTTTTACCAAAAACTGAAGTACAGGGTGTGCCAATTTTTGTGGACCGATTTTAATTGGCTATAACCTCTTTAATTTTGGGCCAAATGTACAGTTATTTCTTTCCCTGAATTTTCAGACATCCCCATTGTGTTTAATACTAAATTCGCAACGAAAATCACATCGCCGCCAAGAAAATGAATTGTGATTTTTTTTGCCCTAGGACCTCTGTACCACAAAACATGTCCATAACGAACAATTTTAGTGGTCGTATTAGTCAATTTTAGGCGAAAGTTCATCTCCACACACCAAATCTCTACCTATAACGAATTATTTTGTCTTGTTCCTTAAAAATTCGTTTTTTATCAGTCTGTCGGGAAAATAATGAGCACTCTGTCACAAAAAACAGAAAATCGTGTCACTGTCGGAAAAATGAATTGTTCTGATGCAAAATTTTTCTCTTCTTTTCACTTCAGCGACGCGATCGGCGTAACGACATTGTGCTGATTACTTTCCGGACAGACTGGAAAGCAGAGATTGCCACGGCTCCGGAGCCGGCTCTTGGCTCCGGCTCTGAGCGGCTCCGAGCCGGGAGGCAGAGCCAAGCCTGGAAATTTTTGGCTCCGGCTCCCGAGCCCAAAGTCGGAGCAAGGCTTCTCAGCGTTCAAAGAAGTAAAAATTTTGTGATCTTGTTCAACCAAATTTCTTGAAAAATAATGGGAAGGATGTGTTGCTTACGACCTGGCTACAAAAACGTTGAGTATGTGATCTCTAGCACTAATAACTTGGCTCTGGGAGCTAAGAGCCGGAGCCAAAATTTTTAATCTATGCTGCACTGAAAGAAAAAACATCAAATTTCAATTCATCAAAATAAAACATCACGCATTTATGCTGTCGACGACATCAAAAGCAGGAGATTTTGATGTTTTCATCAAAAAAAAATTTTTTGATGAAATTCATCAAATATTTTGCATTTATAAAATTGAATTCAAAGAAGGACACACATGTGTGTACGCATGGCAGAGAAAAAAAGATACAAGAAATCAGTCGAATTTCACTTCATGATTTTTGCAATTTTTGGAAATGATCGTCACTGTGAGAAGAGGTAAGAGAGTTTTTTGTTTTGTTTGATGTTTGGATCAGTAAGATTGGTTCTAATTTTTTTTTTGGAATCATTATCAAATGGGTATGTAAGTTGGCACCATCAAATCCCCTTCCCTTGATCACAAGGGCTGTCCGGACGTGAAGGATACCTGGACTTACGCTCCGCCGAACTCAAAGATGAACCTACCGCCTTCCTCGTACGGGGCTTCGTTCAGTTCCACAAAAACGTCGTTGACGACAAAATAGTCCAGCCGGAGGTGCTGAGAGTTAACAGGGCTACATTGTGAGTTTTTTATATTCTACTTGGTCTTTAAACATTGTCCAATTTTGAGTGTAAAGTGTAAATTTACAGGTGGATGTCGACTTTTCCGTCAAAGACGTGCCTTATCAACCCGTGACAATCTCCATCGTCAATATTAACATTCACGCAGTCGAAGAGAGGGAGTTGGAATGGTGTTTTTCGGTAAGGCAAGGTAGCATGATAGTAGTCATAATCATATCTTTTATTTATAAGACTGTGACGTCCAGAAGCAGGGTCACCAATGGAAAGATGGTATCGCTTCGATATTGCAGAAGACGGGATTCATCAAGCGGGTGAGTGATTTATATTGTAGCAGGCTTGACTTTTAGGCCATGCGATACGGATACTCGACTGTAATGATGGTGGTGAATGACTTGTTCCTCTTCGACGTAACCCTACCCTTTCTTGCAATCGTCGTTTGGGATCACCACAAGAAATGCCCGGTTCCTCGAGTTAAAGGCGGCATGATCAAAGTCTTTGACAGGCGTTTGACTGAAATTCTATTTGTGCGAGCAGTTTATTGAAATAAATTGTGTAATTATTGTAGTAGTATTTGTATAATTTTTGATTAATTGCGACATCAAAAAATATTTTTTGATTCGTTCGGCATCATAAATTTTTGATGTGCGTCACATCAAAAAGTTCAGGTTGTTTTTTTTTCTTTTTGATAAAACGAAACATCAAAAAAACAATTTTTGATGTTTGCATCAAAATCTAATAGACTGATGAAAAACATCAAAAATATATGATGTTTTTTCTTTCAGTGTGGTAAGAAGATCGATGGATAGCGTAGAGCAGGTGCATACCCAAAAAAAGTTGTAGGAAGTGCCTACGAATCCTGGCAAAGCCGTGTGACAGTCGGCGGACGCTCGGCGAAGGCTCGGCGGAGACTTGGAGAAGACTTACAATATATCCAATTTTTCTAATCTTGGCTATTACTAACGTTAGTTTTCTTTACCCTGAGTTATTGTAGCATAAAAAAGACCGATATTCAACGAGTTTTTGCAGACCACGGAGAGAGGTCAGGAAGACAATTTTTGGCCATTTTTTTACCCATTTCATAAAAAAAAATGATTTTCTTTTCTGCGGAAAAGTCAAATACCACAATTTTTCAGAATTAACTCGCAAAATTTTTTGGGCTTTCCGAGCTGCGCCCAGCCATCTTTGGCCAACTTTCAGATAGGAGTAAATTGGCCCTTATTGTCAGAAGACGAGCCCTTTGGACGTGAAATTATGCAAGAAAAAACATTTATTTCCTCGTGATCTAAGAAATACATGAGCTTTTTATGATCATCTTTTGAAGTCCTGTGCATTTCGCACATTAAATTTCCCAGTTTATTTTTATTCATTTTTTTCTAGAAGCTCTTATCAGGAAGCTTTCTGATCGCACGTTTGGGAAGGGAAATGAAGACGTCCATTAAATTTTCTTGTATCTCTCCGAATTCCTTTTTTTTTTATTTTCGTGGGTGAGAGATTCGAGAAATTTCTACGCTTTCAGAAAAAATCTCTCTGATTCATTAATAATTCTTTTAAAAGTTTTATTAATAAGATTACGCGTGCCCGCTTTTTCTCCAATTTAGTCTTTAAAGAACACTCCTTCTAGACCGTTCTTTTGAGATCTCCGTAGTCATTTTTGTTTGTCGAATTGAGCTTTTCTGGAAAATTTTTTGTTGATTTTTCCCAAGAAATTGTGGGAATTATTTTTTTTTGGAATTGAATTGTTGCTCCCGTGTAACTGCTGATTTGAAACAAATTTTTAAACTTGTTGTGATTGATACTAACGGTGTTTACCATAATTTATGCTAAGCTTGTGTTTGAAAACTTCACATCAGTTTGTCGGGAAAATAATGGGCGCTCTATCGCTGGGCAGATCGCGTCGTTGAAGTGAAAAGAAATTTGATTTTGCCGCGATACAATTCATTTTCTCGGCTTCGATGCGATTTTTCCTGCGACAGAGTGCTCATTATTTTCCCGACAGACTGATACATCAGAATTTTAAATTTGACCAAAATTATGAAAATTACATCTCGGCAAGAAGGTCGATCGATCGAGGGCTGTAGGTTTACAATCGTACCGGTGTTAGAGGTTTATTTCTTTATTGTCCCAGGTTAGACTATCCCAGGATGTTTCTATGCCGAATTTGGAGGTTGTAGGCAGAGATTGCCACGGCTCCGGAGCCGGAAATTTTGGGGTCGGCTCCGGCTCCCGAGCCCAAAGTCGCAGCCAGGCTTCCCAGCGGTCAGAAAATTAAAAATTTCGTGATCTTGTTAACCAAATTACTTGAAAAAACACTGCGGAGGATGTGACTTGACTGATGAAATATGGCACTAATAACTTTTATTTTTGGAAAAATATTTCTAAAAAGACATTTTGCATAGGAGCCGGGATTCGGAGCCGGGGGCCTTTTTAAATTTTGCACGGAGCCAAGAGCCGGAGCCGGAGCTGCAAATTTGGCCTCGGCTCCGGCTCTGGGAGCTAAGAGCCGGAGCCGAAATTTTGACCGTGGCAATCTCTGGTTGTAGGCCCAGCGGTTTCCGAGATACGAGGTTGAAAGAAAATTTTGTCACCCAGTATATGGCTGGGACTTTGGCTGTTTACTTGAGAGATCTGATCTAATTATGGCCCCATGGTCTTCTGGATATAGTCTATACGGAGAATAATGAGGATCCATTGCGCCTTGGAATCGCTCTTCATCGCTTTGTGACGGCCAGCCGCAGCTGGAAATTGATGCACGATGTGCACCCTTTTTTTTGATTAGGCAAGAAGTTTTGCTGCGAACAATCCACATTATTTTCCCGACAGACTAATACAACCCTATTTATTATTACGCCAAATAAGGGTGGTTTTCGAATTTTGGCCACAGATTCTGTGGCACAGAAGGGAGTTCTTTAGTGGCCAAGAATTGTCTTTGCGAAATTACAGTTATTACGCCTTCCGGAAGGTCGCCGGACCGGCGCGCTCTGAAAAAAACAAAGGTTCACTTTGCACCGTGCAATAGGCTTTTTTGGGCTGTCGCTCGTACCTTGTGTTTTCTTGCACAGTGAAAACGTCAAAGATCGGTCCGGCGGGGCCAAGTCCTTAATTTTTTTTGTGGAATGCTCTAGACTTGTCTGTTTTTCAACTCGAAAACAGCACTTATTTGAGCGTAAGAACAACGAGCTCGGACTTCAGCATTTTTGTTTTTTCCTATTGGGGCTTCCGGAGATTGGCACGTCTAGACAATTGTGAAATCGAGGTATACCGGATTTTTTGTATCTCTGTGCATGGCACGAAAATCACTTAGAAACTTACGAACTCACAGGGGAAGTACCCCAAGTGCGGCGCTCAGATTTTGATGAAAGTTGGCACAAATTTAGAATAATTTTTTCTAAGATATATGCGAGAATCCTAGCTCGCGCTTTGCAGAAACAACCGAGATTTTTAGATCGAAAGTCGGCGAAAATTTAGGACTTTTTGCCGAATTTCGGCACGAAAAGTTTCATGCCTATTTCTACCGTAAAGGATAATGTTTCTACAAAAAATCAATTTTTTCCGCACGAAACTGCCAAAGTTATGGCCAAAAAGCGCATTTCGCTCTGGCCGTTCTCCACGTTTAGCGTGCTCTCTCGGCGGCAAAAGTCGTTTAATATCTCGGCGGCGCCTGCAAAGCGCGAGCTAAAACTTTCAGGAATTGATATTTAGTCTATTCCCGACGTGTGTGCAAAATTTAAAGAAAATCTGAGCGTCGCCCTTGGGGTACTTCCTTTGTCAGTTATACCATTCTGTAGGGAAAATAATGTGGATTTGTCGCGCCTTGAACCTCGCCCATCATCGCGGCTAGCCGCAACCAGAGCTTTGATGAGCGATTACAAGATAGTTTGCAGCGACAAATGTGCATCTTAAAATATATTATGTTTTACGAACGCACTGGTACTTCAAGGTTATTTCCAGAACAATTCTCCCCATTTTTTATTGTTTTCCGCTCGCCGTTTCCCGAAGTAAATAAGTCTGCCCAGAAAGACTGCTTGTTTTTTCTCGAAGAGTACAATTTTGACAGCACAGAGGTTACGAAAGCGCTGGAAGGAAATAAATCGAGATTTCGCCTCGTCCAAAAACAACAAAACTTTCGGGGTTCGAGAAAAATCGGTTTCTTGCAAGAGATATTTTTAGATTATGAAAGAAAAGTCTTTATTTTAGTATTGGCCGTATTTTAGAAACCCGTTTTTTTAGATAGGCCTTACGGAAAGTCGCTGGAGTGATTTCGGCGACATGCACTGTGCGAAAACAAAGTTTGACTTTGCACTGTGCAAAATTTTAATTTATTGTTTTTTGCACTGTGCAATAGGCTTTTTTGAGCTGTCGCTTGTACCCTGAGTTTTCTCGCACTATGTAAACGCCAAAAATCAGTCCAGCCACTTTCCGGAGAGCAGTGAAGTGCTATCAGTCTGTCGGGAAAATAACGGCGGATTGTCGTACCAAAATGTCTCGCCTCGCCGCTATCGCAGCCCAAATCCCAAGCCGCCGCTTACAGTCGCAAAGCGATGATGGGCAATTCCGAGGCGCGACGATCCGCCGTTATTTTTCCGACAGACTGATAGAAAGAGGGATTCGACCTCTAAAATTGTACTCAAACCTGGCGAAAGTTTAAATTAATTTGTTCTAACAATAAGACCGTAGAATTTCAAGAATCTGCCTTGCAAAACCGGCATTTTCTTTTTTACTGTGAAAATGAAAGTTTGTCAAAATTTGAGACAATTTTGAGTGATTGCAAAAAACTTTCCAATTTTCCCCAACTTTCTGTCTACAAGTCTCGGTTGCTTTTGCAAAACCCGAACTAGGATCCTTGCTTATTTTTATAAAGTGTCAGTCTGTCGGGAAAATAATAAGCACAATGTCGTTGCGCCAATCGCATCGCTGAAGTGAAAGCAATTTGATTTTCCCGCGACACAATTCATTTTCTCGGCGGCGCTGCAATTTGCGATTCGACAGGGTGCCCATTATTTTCCCGACACACTAATATTGAGACTGATAATCTTAGCGTTGTATTTCGAGCACCTTCCTTGTGAGTCTTCCATAAACAACACAGCTTTCTCCTCAGAATACTCGCTTGTTCCATTTCGCTCCACCCTGCGGGCACTCCTTGGATTTCCCACCGCAATTCATGGCTTCTAATTCTGGTGAGCAAATGGAAAATTCGCGAGTTGGTTGGGTAGTTATTGCGGACTCTGTTTAATCCAATTTTTTGGGCACGACACGAGATCTTGGAAACTTCCAGAGTCCGAAAATTGAGGACTAATAACAGTACGAAAATTGCACGGGAGATTAGTCGGTGTCAATGGCGGATACTACGGAAGCCGTAGATGAAATCGAAGAGGTTTTTTGCCGACAAATTTGGTGATGTTTGGAGTGGTTTAGGAGTACCGTAGGACTTTTGTGGAGGACGGAAAAAGCGGTGAAAATGATGACTTTTTTGGTCCCGCTTCTAGGAATACCGTATACATTAGTATTTACAGAGGGAGTTGTTCAAGTACGACGATCAATTCTCGATGAAACTTGGCACAAATTTAGCCTAGTTCTCTTTAAGACGCATGTGAAATTTCTAGCTCGCGCTTTGCAGGAACAACTGGGGTTTTTTTGATGGAAAATTGGCCAAAAACGTAACGTTTTTGTTGAATTTTGGCATAAAAACGGTATTAATTTCACGCCTATTTATACCGTGGAGTGTGATATTTACACAAAAAATCATTTTTTTCCTTACGAAACTGGCAAGGATATGATCAGAAAGTGTTCTATCTCTGACCGCTATCCGAGTTTCGCGTGCTCTCTTGGCCGCCAAAACCTTTGAATATCTCGGCGGCGCCTGCAAAGCGCGGGCTAAAACTTTCAGGAATTGATGTATGGCCTATCCCTGAAATGTGTTAAAAATTTAAAGAAAACCTGAGAATTTGAACGTCGCACTTCAAACCTTCCCTTTCTTAGTGGGTATTTTACGGATTTCCCAGATTTCCCAGAAAATTCAAACCTCGACCAACCAGATATTAACTGATATAGACTGAATAGTCAATATCCTTTATCCCACCGACAATTCAGCAATGCATTTTCACCGAATTTCCCGTCGATTTCCCACGGAAATCGATCAACCCCCGAGGAGACGGGGAATTCGGAGAGAAATCGCCTGTCTTCACGTGTGGAAAGCTTCCAGAAGAAAAGTCCTCGTGTCTTTCGTTGCGGCTTGGACCCACGCCCTGTATTCTTTGTTTTCCCCGTCAATGCGACAGATTTTTTTATGGAAAAATTGGGATTTTTATCTCTTTCTTAGTATTGATGACCATGAGTAATATTTCGATATTTTTGCAAAAAAATGATCTTGAAAATTGCTGCTGCTTCTTCATGTATATCATGTATAGATCATATACGGTATCTGGGTTCAGTTTTTGTCGACCAACAAGAGATATTTTGAGGAAAAATCAAGATTTTGGCATGAATTGTCATCAGATCTCCATGAATAATACATTTTGATCTGTTTGACCGCCAAATTTCCTCAAATACCCTTGAAATAACTGAACGTTAGATCAGAGATCCCTCTCCCTTACCGTATTCGCACAACTCGCCGAGCTGAACACAGAAACGTCCAGAAAGTTTTCCCCGTTTCCCAACAAGCGCCGCCTATTTTCAAAACAAGCACGCCACCTCGGGCAAAAAGAGCTTTGAATAAATTGAGAGAGACAGAGAGGACGAAGAAAACAAGAGAAGCGACCCGATCACGAGCGTGAATCACTTGCACGTGTACCACTTCCTTCCAAAATACAACAAAATTTTTGGAGGCTCTATAAAAGCCGAAAAAAGAGGGGTGACAATGGCGGAGAGCTCTGAGAAAAAAGGTCGTAAAGATAAGGCGGGGTTTTGTCATGTTCTAGATTATGGCTTATAGAGATTTGGAGCCTCCGGGGAAGATTACATTTCAAATCCCAGCTTTCCCGCTAAGCTTGGCATTGTGTTTCTGGGATTTTATTTTTAAGGGAAATTGATGATTTTGCACTCAAAGCTATCAGGAGGCCATATTTTAGAAGTGTCTAGTGATTTTAAGACCATTTCTTTGTTTAATCTTTGATTTTCATCAAAAAAATTTTGAGATTTTGTGATTCATAGCAAGTCTAAGGCCTTTTAGCACTTACATCAGCGCTTGAATCATATCAAACTTAAATATTTTCCTCTTATTTTCCCTGAAAATTGATTTCAAAACTGTCATTTATCATCTTTACTGTCCCAATTATCATTCCCATCCCATCTTCCCTCCTCCTTCGACATGGGCCCGCAAGCGACGTAATGTATATGCAGTAGAGGGAAGAGAGCGCGTTCTAGAAGAATTCCCGGCCTCGTCACTCGTCTGCTCTTTCCCCTGCCCTCCCGAGAACACACAATCCCCCCCCCTTTGGGTTGAAATTTGGGTGCAAACGAACCGCTTTTTCCGCTCGCTACAAGAAAACTTTAACGGCAGGTGCAAATTTCTCGACGCTAAAATGACCGGCTATATGTAAGCTATAACATACAACCTAAGATTGTCCAATCTCGCCGATTTTTTCTCAGAAATTTGGCAAAAATCCAAAAAAATGAGACGAAATTAAAGTCGTCCCAAAAATTGGCCAATTTCCAACAAAAAATCGGTAGTTTCGGAAAGAAAATGGTATGCAAATTGTAGCCAGGAGAATGCAGAAGTTACTGGAAACGAGCATTCATTGGCTACACCGGAGCAACTCTCTCGTTTTGAGTCCTTTCTCGATCTTTCCACGCTTTTTTCCGACGCCCCGAATTCCCCGCCCCCAAACGGAAAAGGATAGAAGCGCTCCGATCTTTCTGGCGTTTATATTTTCGTGTATTCCCTTGTGCTTATAATAGCGTCCCATTCCGGCTGATTGCAGAGATATTTTCGAATTTTTTTGGAGCTTAAACTTGATGACCTTATTTTAGACGAAATCTGAAAAAAATCTTTGCCAAATCCCACAACAGATTACAGAATGCTTGTTGGCGAACAAACAAGGGATGAATCAGGCGGCCGTTGGCAGGAAATTTGGCTAAGTGCCTGAGGGGAAACTTGTTAAACCTCCGATTAATTTCGCTAAAAGCCCGCGAGAACCTGAAATTTCTCATTGTCTATCGACCATCAACTTCGGGCGGCGTCGAGATGGTTGTAAACCCTCTTCCAGACCTTTTCCCATATTATATTGAAGTTTTGGTTATTCAAATTTAACCGAAATCAACTAAAAATTGATAATTTTTGAGAAAAATCAATAAAATTTTTGACATTTCGCCCAATTTCTCGAAAGATCGGAAAAAATCCCGCGAACCCGACGGTAAAATAAATGAAATCCCAATTTTTTCAATTTCCGTGAGCGCTGGGAGAAATTGCGAGCACGAACCAGCGAATAAACGAACTCTCTCTTTTCGTGCGGCTTCTCGAAATTTCCTCAAAACTTTTCCGCCACCCGCTCGCCCCTTTTCGGCGGGGTTTTTTGTATTTTCTCGCGATTTTCGGCGGAATTTTTTGGTGATTGTGATTACCATCACTGTAATACGGTAGGCTGAAGGTATTTCCATAGTATTTACCATTTTATTGGGACTTTTTTGTAGGAAAATCGATCGATTTTTGGGGGAGACATCAGATTTTTAAAGGTTGTTTTCTTTGTTTCAAATTTTAGGCATGTTCCTGTAGATGAATATTGAAATTTTTGATGTCAAAATGAAGCTTATGTCCTGTAGTTTCAGTTGAGACCATGTAGTGGCCTAGACCTTTCCTTAGGTTTGAGCACTGGGCTTTCGAATATTATCCATGACCTCGGAGATGACGTTTTTGTAAATGCCGTTCTCCACCGTTCCACCTGTGTTTTTCCAACGTCCTATACGTTCCCGACTATTTTCCCTTCTTCGTTTTTTTGTTTACCATAAGACCTCTGCTTGTGGGAATTCTTCTAGAAACTTTGTGGGCATTCAATTGTTGATTGGTTGGATCCCAAAAAATTCCCAAAAATAACTCAAATTCATTCAATTTTCCCGGCCGATAATCAAGACGGGAGACTGTATTTTGTCTGTCCGCCCTTGCAGGACGTTTTATCGCTTCCGGCCGAGATTTACGCAGGGTTTAAGCCGATTTGCCGGCAAAAATCCATCGTTTCGAGAAAGTTTTTGATGAAAATGTGGATTGTTTGAGGAATTTTTAGTGTTTATGTCATCTGGATTTCTTGAAAGACTTCTCAAAGGGCTTATTTTGCGATTTCACTTTTGACTTCATAATTTTTCATCGAGTTTTGATCTTATTTTAGTCTTCTTTAGGTGTCCAAAAAGTTTGCCGGTACGGTATACCCGAAAACTTTTTGGACATTTTAATTTTCCACAGATTCTTGCTTTGTCTGACCTTGCCATTGAGTTGATATTGTATTTGCCGTGTTTTTAAGCTGAACTCGCGATTTTTTACCTTATTTTAGGTATCTTTAGGCGAAATTTTTGTTTTTTCGAATTTTGAAAAAATTTTTTGGACTTTAACAGATGAAATTTGGGTTTTAACAGGTTGGAAAAGATATTAGCTCTCTTAAAATTAAATTTCCAATAGATATTAGATCGTATTTTACCTTGATTTCAGACTTTTCATTAGATTTTTTCTTATTTTTGTGATTTTTCGATTTTTATTCGTGTCTTTCATATTTTTGAATGTTTGAAGGCACTTCTTGGATATTCTAAAGTAATTTTTCTTTCAGAACTCATCAATTTTCGCCGTCCAACACTATTTCCAGCGGCTTTTCCGACGTCTCCGAGCCAAATCTTCGGCTGGCTTCGAACTGAATTTTCAAGCGAAACCTTCGACGTCCACCTGATCAAGTTGAAGTCGCCAAAGCCCACAGAACCGGTGAGTCTGGCCGATCGCATCCTCCGTTCGCACCATCTGCTGCCCAAGTCCCGTCTAGCGCACTTCCGAGCTGGAGCGGGCCGCGAATTGAGTGGGAGGAAGCCGCAGAGTCCCGTATGCACGCGGAGCGCCCCGAAGAGACCGGTCGATACCAACGCGTTGGTGCCAGTTGTCTCGTTGTGCAAGGACCAAGTTTTTTGCAAGAAGAAGCGACTAGTTCGGCAAGTACAACATCAAAAAGGTGGTGTGGCCGCGCGGCTAGCGGACACTCGACTCTGCCATATTCGAAAAGACTCTACAGAGGATTTGGAGGCAATTCAGGCTCAGCAGAGTCCTCCCGGTGCAACAGAACATCAAATTTTTGGCGCACAGTGCGAAAATCGAATTTCCGCACAGTGCAGTCGGAACTCCGAATTCTCCAAAAACTCGACCAAATCAAGTCTTCAGAGCTCCGCAAACCACTTCAGCCCTTTCAAAACTCATCCTTTCACCTGCGCCACGAATTCCTGGGCTACCGCTATAAGCGTCGCAAGTCGCACACCTAACTTTTTATCCTATTCCTCCCAATTCCGGAGAAATTCGTTGGGCTCCGAGTCGGCATCCTCAAATACCTCAATTTCCGACTGTGAGGAGGACGAGATGGCTCCCAATGTGGATCCCATCGAGGACTTGCAGAATTATATTCAGAATCCGGTCGACGACCAACGAAATGTGGGCCTGCAGAAGCAATTCGCCTCAATTCTGCATGCCAACAAGTGTATGAAACAGAAACAGGTGAGTAAAAAGTAGATTAGAGCTTCTTTTATCTTATTTTGAAGATTTTTTGAGCAGATATAAACAAAAAATTTTTTTATGACCAATTTTTTCGAAGCTGTCATCAAAATTTTTTCACTTGTTTTTCAACCCGTAAAATTGTAAATTCTCTAAAGACTAGATAGTAAAATATATTTTCCATTATGTAAAGAGGCTTTTCAAGGACTTGTAAATGCTTTTTCCACCACTTTCCAATCACTTTATCACCCCAATTTTCGCTTCAGAATAACATGTGCACCTTGCCGATTTGCCCTCAATGGAAGGTGGTTTTAATGCATTATAACCAGTGCAGTAATGGACTGCATTGTACGTTCGAGCATTGTGCAACGTCAAGAGTATTGTTGATGCATTTTGAGAGTTGCCAGCGAGCGGAATGTTCGTTTTGTGCACCTTTGAGACGACCGCAAAGTAAGTGTTTTTTTATATTTTTGAGGATTTTATAGGATTCTTTTGATGATCAAAGAATTCAGTGGGAATTTTAATGGGATATATAGAGCTATCGCGGATGTGATTAGAGTTTTTTTTATTGAAAAAATTGTAATTTTTGGGATTTTTTGGAATTTTCGGAATTTTTTTTTTATTTTTGAAAATTTTCAAAATTAGATGACCATTTTTTTTGAAAGGTTGTACTGTAGCTACGTAAATTTTGCTACTTTTTCTTTGCTAGTATTTCTGTATCTTTTCATAATACCAAAATTGATTTATAGTCGATTTTCCGATGTTATCCATGACCAAAACCAACCTTTTTTTGAATTTCGAATTTTTCCTCTCAAATGGCGCCTAATGTCATAACCCGGCTGTTATGACATCCTATGCACTTCATTCTTTTAGTCCAACCTACTAACGATCTACCCGCTACAGGACGAGAGCGCCGCGAGACCGTCTCCTCGACCCACTCCTTCTTCGTGCAATCGCCCAATTCGTCCTACGAACAGGGCTCCTACTCCTACGAGGGCATGTCCCACGCGTCGCAGGCCTATTTCCGCCGATGGGGAGAGTGGAATGAGACCCGAGTGCAGACCAACAACACCACGCATTACTACACAACCACACACATGGCCATTACGAATGTGGAGGATGACGGGAACAGCAGTCAGGAGGATCAGAGCATGGAACGGGAGGTTTGTCAGACGGAGAGGATCCAAAGAGAGCTGGTGGTTATGTTGCATGTGCAGAAATGCGCTGCTATGGATATGGTAAGGGGGATTTTTTGGGGTTTTGTGGATTAGAAAAAAAATTTTTTAAAAAATTTAGAAAGAATTTTAGGAAAAAAATTTTTTGATTTTTTTTTTTTTTTTTTTTTTTTTTTGAAATTGATGTCTACAGCAATTTTAAATAGAAGATTAGAGGTTGGAACTAAATTTAGAAGACCTTTCGTGACGGTTTACATTGATTTTGAAAAAAAAAATTGATTTTTTTTTTTTTTTTTTTTTTTTTGAAATTGATGTCTACAGCAATTTTAAATAGAAGATTAGAGGTTGGAACTAAATTTAGAAGACCTTTCGTGACGGTTTACATTGATTTTGAAAAAAAAAAAATTGATTTTTTTTTTTTTTTTTTTGAAGTTGATGTCTAAACCAATTTTAAATAGCAAATTAGAGGCTGAAACAAACTTTCGAAGACATTTCATGACGGTTTACATTGATTTTCAAAAAGAAAAATTTTTTTTGATTTTTTTTTTGAAATTGATGTCAAAAACTAATTTTATTAGAAGATTAGAGGTTGAAACAAAATTTAGAAGACCTCTCTTGACGGTTTACATTGATTTTCAAAAATAATTCAAAAAAAATTTTTTTTTTCAAAGTCATTTTTTTCAGGAAAACCTCAGCCAGGAGAGCGAGATCATGTGCGCCGTGCCGCACTGCTCCAAAATGAAGCGCACCCTGATCCACGTGGCGATGTGTCGGGGCGAGGACTGCGACTTCCCCGAGTGCGACGTGACGCGCAGCATCATCGACCACTGGCTGACCTGCCGCAAGGACAGCTGCGGCGTGTGCGCGCCGGTCCTCAAATTCATGCGTAAGTACATTTGCGACCCGGACTTGGGCTCGTTGGCCAAGGCCAAGTTGGGAGTGGCCAAAGCCGCGTTGGGATTGGCGTGCGTTTAGCGGGCGGAGGTAGGTGGAGAAGTGGTCGGAACAGGGGGAAGAGGAGTCTGGTGGCGGTGAAAAGGGTAGTATTTGATGTAGGAATGATTTGGAGGTATAAAAATATCATTGCCTTAGGGAAAATTCGATTTTTGGTAGGGAAAATTTCATTTTTGTCGATTTTTGGGCAATTTTGAGAGTTTTTTGAAAAAATAATGGTAAAAATGCCTTGAACTTTTGAGTTTTATGGGTCTAAGAGGAAGCTAAAAGTGTAGTAGGTCTTTGTAGATGGATTTGGAGGTGTAAAAATTTCATTGCCTTAGGGAAATTTCAATTTTTTCGATTTTCGGGACTTTTGGCGAGTTTTTCGAGAAAATAATGGTAAAAGTGGCTTGAAATTTTGAGTTCTATGTATCTAAGAGGAAGCTGACAGTTTATTAGTTCTATGTAGCTGAATTTGGAAGTATAAAAATTTCATTGCCTTAGGGAAAATTCAATTTTTTCGATTTTTGGGCGATTTTTCGAGTTTATCGAAAAAATAATGGTAGAAATGGCTTAAAATTTTGAGTTTTATGTATCTAAGAGGGACTTGACAGTGTAATAGTTCTATACAGGTCGATTTGGAAGTATAAAAATTTCATTGCCTTAGGGAAAATTCCATTTTTCGATTTTTGGGCAGGGTTTTTTTAGTAAATATAAAAAAATTTTTTTGCCAGTGGACTTACCGTTTCATTTTCAGCTGCTCTCGACGGTGAGGAGTTCGACAACGATGGAAGACTGGTAAATCTCCTCTACACCGCCTCCAATCGTCTGGAGAAGCTGAACAACCAAGAGGTCCTAAGACAATGTCAACAGAGTTTGGAGGACGCACAACCCCAATTGGACTGCCCCTCGACCAGCTCCGGCTTCATTACTCCGTCAGCATCAAATGCGGACCTCCAAAGCGCCCTGAAACGCCATCTGGAGGGCTCCATGTCATCCGATGACTCGAACCAAAGCTCCAGCAATTCGTCCCAAGAATCGTCGAGAAGAGGCTCGTTGAAGAAGAAGGTCAAGCATTGGGATGGACCTTGATTTCGAATGACATTTTTTGCCCGCAAGAACAGGTCAAAAATCCAATGGATTTGGTCGTTTTTCTTGTTTTAATCTCCCCTCGGTCTGCTCTTTTTAATTGTATATTATTTTCCTGATCCTCGTATTGTTTCACAATGAAAATTTATTTTACATTCATGGTTAGTGGTTTCGAAATTTGAAACGGGGAATTTGGAGGGAATTTTGGGATTTGCACAGTGCGAAAAGTTCTTGATGAGATGCACTGTGCAGTCAAAATTTTTTTTGTTGCACTGTGCAGGCAACAAAATTTTTCTTGCACTGTGCAGTCAAAAAATTTTTTGTTGCACTGTGCAATGAAAAAAATTTTTTGTTGCACTGTGCGGTAGCAAAAATTTTTTCATGCACTGTGCAGTCAATATAATTTTTGTTGCACTGTGCAGTGAAAAAAATTTTTTTCGCACTGTGCAGTCAAAAAAAATTTTCTTTGCACTGTGCAGTCAAAAAAAAATTTTTTTTGCACTGTGCGGTCAAAAAATTTTTCTTTGCACTGTGCAGTCATAAAAACTTTTTCTGCACTGTGCAGTCAAAATAATTTTTGTTGCACTGTGCAGTGAAAAAATTTTTTTTCGCACTGTGCATCAAAAAAAATTTTTGCACTGTGCAGTCAAAAACGTTTTTTTGTTTGCACTGTGCAGTCAAAAAAAAATTTTTTTTGCACTGTGCAATCAAAAAATTTTTTCTTGCACTGTGCGAAATTTAAAACTTACCTTGTCGCATTGTGCAAAATTGTATGCTACCAAAATTTCAACGTCTTTACGGCCCCATCCTTTCATTTTTTTTAGTTTCCATGTCGTCTCCAACGGGTACCTCAAAATATTTTATTTATCCTCCGATATCTGAAATCCCACCACAATATTTTGGATGTTGATCTCGAACTTTTAAAACTGGAATCATTTTTTTGATTCGGTGCTTGAATTTTGGACCATTTTGTGTCTTTTGCGTTCCGCCAACTCGATATTTTCTGATGAAATAAACTTAATTAACACTTTTTTTGATTTTTTTTTGAATTTTTTTTTTTTTTTTTTTAATTTGGTCCCTCGTCTCCCAGACACCTCAAACCTCATTTTTTGCAAATTTTTGGCGCCATTTTCCTCCAAAAGCCCAACAAAAAAAGAGCCTCGATCGCGCCAAAGATCGCGCCGGATCCGAGGAAAGTCATAGCCAGAGACAAAGAAGGGGGGAGAGCGTCGCTTTTCGGTTGGCGGGAAATTACGCGTCCACACAAAAAGAGGAATGCACTTGTAGTCTGACTTGTGAGGTGATGTAATTTTTTGTCGATGGGAACTTTATGTTTTTTGGAGTTATATCAACGCTAAGGTTTGATTAGATAAGTCTCGGATGTTTGCGGGTAAAACTGATGATTCAGCGGGTTCAATGAGATTTTTTTCTTTTTTTTGCGTATTTTAGAAAAGCATTATAATTGTGGGAAAGGAAAAAATTTTTTATTATTTTTGATGACTTTAGTCATCAAAAAAAATATTTTTATATTTACGTTACACAGTGAAGTCTCTGTACAACAAATGGCTAGAAAAGGAACCGAAAAAAGTTTTTCGCAATAGGTAAAATACGTTCGATGAAGGTTTTTGCCCCATAATAGACCCTTGAAACCCTGAAATGTAGGCATACTTTTGAAACGTTCAAAAATATTAAAATAGTTGCCAAACCGACCAAAATTTTTTTTTTCATGGCTGATTCCATGCGATAATAGGTTTTTTGACATGCTCTTTCTAATGGCATTAGCTGTTTTTTGATAGGTCTTACTGAACCTAAGATACTTCAATTTTTCATGGAGTAGGTATACTTCGTAAGGGGTGTATAAAACATATATTTACGGGGTCATCAAACGTTTCTAAAGCTTCTAAATTTAAGATTTTGCCTAATTCGACTTTTTCAAATACAAAACTGAGTGGAAACTCTGTAAAACAAACTTTTATAGAGCAAAACCTCTCTATAACAAACAATTTGTTTTTGGTTGCAAGTAAAATTTTTGAGCAAAAGAAGTATCAAAAACCCCCATTTCTTAAAAATTTCTCAATTTTCCGAGAAATTTCGCGGCTAAATCAACCCAAAACTACAACAAAACGGTTGTTATTGTCAATCAGCTACAGTCTCCGAGTTCGCAGTAACTTTCAACCGAATTTCCAACGGGAACTTCCTCGTTCCGCCACTGTTTTCCATCGTTTTCGCCTCGCTTTTTTCGGAGACTTTCTCCTCTCGAATTTGGGGGGGCCGACTGCACAGTGCAGTTCGAGAGCATTCCGATGATGTGGTCCGGAGCGCAGACGGAATCCCATTTTAATGGGGGAAAAAAGGCAGACTGGCGCGCTGCGAAGAGGCTGGGTGGAATGGAGAGAGCGCGAGAGATGCAGAGCGAAGACAATTTACACTCTCGACAATTTTTTTTTTACGACTCTCGGTCTGGGTTCTTATTGGCTTAGGTCGGGAAATTCTGCCGCTCTCTTCTTTTCGCATTCTATTTAGGTTTTCTCTACCCCGCCTCCGCATTTACAGCGATCTCTCTGGCCTCCTCTTCGAAGAGAGTCAGAGAAATTTCTCTGCGCTCTCTCTTTCTCATGCAGTCTTTCGCTTAGTTTTTCGTAATGCTCTAACTGTCTAGACGTCTCTTCAAAATGCGAATCATTTTCGCATTTTGAATTGTTCATTTTGATCAAATTTTTCTCTTCCGGTCTCATAAAAAGCCTATTCTCTCGTTTTTTTTCAATCTGCCCTTCCGCTGAATGTCTCTCACCCTCTCTCCGTCCCACAATCTCTCCGCTTCGCTTCAATTAGTGTCGGGCGCGCCTCGGAGCCCAAAAACCGGGCGAGAGAGCGCGCTGCAACGCGCAAACCGGCAGACATCGCAGCCGCTAAAAGTGTTTTCGCCGCCGAAAAAGCCCAGAATCGTGGAGACATCGCACACGGGACAGCTGCCCCACCGAACCGTAGACCACCAAACGCAGGCGGAGAGCGCACTTCGGGCGGAGAAAACGAGAGAGAGAGAAGGGGGCTCGTGCGGTGGGGGCCGTCGCGATTCCCCCGCCGCTGTTTTATTTTCCTCCAATGCAAGGAGATTTTTCCTCCCCCCACCCGTTATTTTTGCGTTTCGCCTGCGCCTCGAAACGAGCTTTCCACACCGAAAAAAATTCCTGGCCCCCAGGCCCGCCGAAAAGCGGCCCACAATTTTTGCGTATTTTCGGCATTTTTTCCGAGCTCCACGCCCCGAATTCGCCCGTTTCTCGGCCCAAATTCTGCTTGAAACTACAGCAAAATGCTTGAGTTTGGGGTTTTCTGTCGTATTTTAGTCGATTTTGCAGTGAATTTTGAAGATTTCCCTGGTTTTTGGCATGAATAATGTTGTTCATGCGGTTCGCCGTTGATTTATCGATTTTCACGGTCATGCGGTTTGGGTTTCCCACGTGTTTCGCCGTCGAAACCTTTATTTCCGAGCTGTGCATGCGACTAGCGAGGCGTTCGAATGGGTTTTTGCATCAAATTTTGGCCTGCCTTGTTTACTGGAAATTGATTTAGGCGCGCCGGCAAAAATATCGAAATAAGTATTGGTTTTTGATCGTTTTCTTTGCGGTTTCCTGTTTTTATAGGTTAATTATGATTGGCGGAGTGATTTTCAGCCGATTTCCATTGGTTATTTGGAGATCTCCGCCGAATTTTACAAAAAATTGTTGTTTGTTATCTAAAATTATATTGTCCATGAATTTTCAGAGAGATTTTTATTTTTTATTGCTGTAAAGGATGGTTAATTGATTTTAGAAGCTTTATTCATGTTATTTTCTCCATTTTGAGGTGGAATTCCAGCTGAAATCACGTGTTATATTGTTCATGAGGTTTGTTTGATGTCTTGAGAGGAAAATTGTTTTTTCAAATTGAAACTGGCTGTGATAACAATAGACTTTGATATTTTTACGATTTTCAGAGCACGAGGAACGCTTTTGACCTTTTTGTAGCCCCATTGAGGGTTGGTTTTATCTTCATTTAGCTGTTTTGGCTAGTGTAACATCAGTAAAGGCAATTTGCTAAAATTTGCTGAATTTTCATGCTAAAATACCTTTGATTTGAGTTTATCTACTATTTTTGTCTATTATTTTGGATTAACATTATAAACACCTCCAATTAGGGTTATTTTCCTTCTTATACCACCCAACTTCTTCTATAAACCCAATCTTTTCTATAAAGGAAATTATGGATGGGAACCCACGTCGAAGCATAGGGAAAATCTCGGATAGACTTCGGAGAGAATCCGGTTGGGGTTTTCCTGAATTTGCGCGGATGCCGAGGGAATGATAAGTTGAAGTTGAATTGAGAGATTTTCTCGAGTTTTAGTCTTCGAATTTTATTGGGATTTGGATGGAGAAATTTGTCTGGAATCGTTGTTGATCGTAGATGGCATTGAAAGGTTTATTTTGGGCTGATTCTGATATTAGAATTGAGAGTTTCCGATCTTTCTGATATTCAAGTTGATTAATGTGTAATATCGAAGTTTTCTGACCGTTTCCAGACGGGATTTTGATGGCGCATTCTTTGATAGGCCATATTCCACTATTTTCTAGTTATATTCATCTTATTAGAATGATCTCTCATCGATTTTTATCTTTTTTTGCCTAGTACAATATGAATTTACTCTTAATTTCCGGTTCCTTCTAGATAACCCACAAAAAGCTTTCAAAAATGCAAAAACAGCTGAGCAGTAACCTTTGGCCCTCTGTTGTGGCAGGTGTAGTCTTTCCGGAAAGTGTTATTTTGCTGTTTTGACACTCGCCAGTAAGAGTAAACTTTCTTCCCGGAGTGACGTGCGTTTTATTACGAAAGGAATAAAAGGCAGAATGAATGAATTATGGAAATAGGCAGGTATTAGGAGTTAGTCTCGAATACAATTTGTCTTTTGAACCTTGAGAGGACGTCAAATGCAAATTGAGGTTTTTTTAGTGATTTTGAACTTATTGTTGGGTAAATCATTGGCTATACGAACAAATTGATGCCCAAAATGTTCGAAAATATCCTGGGAAGTCCTCTTCGAAGCCTTGAAAGGCTTCCTAGAGGACTTTTGAGGATATTTCTGAACAATTTGAGTGATTTTGAAGTTATTGTTGGGGAGCTCATTGGCTAGACGGACAATTTGATGCCCAGAATGTTCAAAAATATCCTGGGAAGTCCTCTTCGAAGCCTTGGAGGGCTTCTTTGAGGACTTTTGAGGATATTTTTGAATCATTTTGGGATTTCGATGAGATTTATGTTCGTTTTTTGACTTTGAAAGGGAGATTTGGCATTTTTGGGGGTTTACAACGTCACCGGTCATAGAATTAGACTTTTATAGCCATTTTTTGATATTAATTTACACTTTTAACGGCGAAAATCCTTGAAAAAAATTTTTTTTTGCTGAGACGTCCCTACTAAACTCGGTGATGACATTTTGAGGTCCCATTGATGCCTTTGGATACCTTTTTCCGGCCTCAAAAACCCATTGTGCCCTTTCTCCGGACCGTGAACTTTCACCCCGCTGGTAAACGGTATTTTTTCCAAAAATATTAATTATCTTTCTTCCGCCCCTCTGTCTCAAGGTTCTTACAATGCCCCAAGGCACGCACAAAAACTTTGCGGAGCTTTGGAATTGTGAAAAAACCCCGCAAACCGACGGAATGGGCGCCTTGAATGGGGGAGAGAATTATGGGGCTGATAATGAGAAAGACGGACCGAAAAAAATCTCTCTCTTTATTTGCGGTTTTAATGTAAGCAGGCGGGATGTAAATCGAACAGCCAGTTCACATTCAGACGTTATTCTGATAATTTGTGTACAGTAGTCTAAAAGGGAGTGATCGGGAATGGGGAACATGCGGTTTCGTAATGATTCATGCTTAATTGGGTGTGAGAAGTGGTAGGACGTACTTTTTAGGGCAGCAAATTCTGTATGGCTCGTATTTTAGTCAAAATTTCTGATTTTGGTCTAGTACAATATAAAAAATATTGGTTTGGTGTAAAGTTGAAGTTGATTTTGCACTTGTGAGTTGCTATATTTTAGTTCGGGTTCATTTTTACGTCTAAAATTGCACTTTGTTCGTCGAATTGGTTGCAATTTAATTTTTGGTGACCTATTATATTACACTTGATGATGAGAAGAATTTTACCAAAACTGTGACCGCAAAAGCGACTGATTTCTTGGTTAAGTAGTCAAATGTTTATTTTTAATCTAAAAATTTATGTTTTCCTTGAATAATTTGGTTTTTGAAGGATTTTTTATATTGTACTAGACATTTATGGATATTTTTGATTTTCAAGTTTATTTTAAGTATGCCATTTGATGAGATCGAAGCTAAAATTTTTCAAATGGTGTCAGAAACCATTTTTTAATTAGAAAATTTTGTTTTTATGGGTTTACAATATTGTACTAGACATTTAGTCACAGTTTTAGCCAAAAAACTGTTTTAATGCCCTTTTCTATCCTCAAAAGTTGTTGTTATGTAATAAATAGACGATTAGTGATCTAATAAATAGGGTTAGCCCAAAAAATCCTTGCCGGTATCTCCAGGAAATCCCCCTATTTATCCCCAACTTGACACCAAATGGAGATGGCGTTTGTTTTTTACAGCCCGAACATTCGTCGTCGCGGTGCGAAAACGGACTTTTTTCACAGCGGATTTTGCGCGACGAAAAGTCGGTTCTCCTTCCTTCTCTTTTCCCATCTGAAGAAGGGGATCCGTGCGGCTTGTTAACCTCCATATCCCACTAATTGTTGTAATAAGTTGTCAGAACGGGGGCGATTATTCTTCGTGGTCATTCTCCTGTAGTTTCCGGGGGATTTGGAATGGTTTGTAATCCGGGTGACGCAGAAAATCATAAATGTCCGCCGGATTTGGCCGTCTACTTGGGGGGTTTGGGCATGGATAAGGTAAAGCTTGTTGTTTGGACGGGGAAAATGTTTGGGTTGGAAGGGATTTGGACGAAAAATAGATGAATAAGGTTGGAAAAAGAGCTTGAGAACGTAATAAGGTGGTTTGTTAGGGGAAATTCTGATTTTTCATCAGTTTTCGTCCAAAAATGTCATCATTTTGATGATAATTGAGATTTCGAAGCGTTTTACGCAATATTTAGAGGCGTTTTGGGTCTCAAATCTCTGCAAATTAGTTGAAAATTACTTTGATATTGTCCGTAGTTAATGTGGCTCCAGTTTTTGAAGGTTATATCGACCTTTATTGAGGAAAACACCTTATTTTAGGTACAAATAACGATTTTAATGTAATTTCGCGCAAATTTACGGATGCTTTTGGACGTTTTAGACACTTAATGACAGTAAAAATCTTTTGAGAGCTCAAAAATACCTTATTTTGCATGTGTCAACCAGTTTTTCCATTAAAATTACCTTATTTTAGGTAACATTCCCAAAAATTTTTTGTTCTTTTGATTTTTTCTGAAAATTCCCACTATTTTTTTAAACTCAGTTTGTGTCATTCGTAATTTACCATCATCCGAAGATCGTATTAGGCCGTTTTCCCCAAGATCCGACTTTATTTTGGATTTCCCGACGCCTCGAGACACGAAATGCTGTAATCTCCCCCCAAAATTCGGTCGTTTTCCACAGTAAATCCGCCCTTATCAAGAGCCACGACTTATTACAACCAAAACGATTTGTAAACAGCTTATTATGGGCCGGGAGATTACGCTTTTCACCAATTTTTTGGGCAAATGGGAATTCGATACAAAAAATGGGGTGGAATTGGAGATTTGGCGGCTGGGAATAGTGTAAATAAGGGGTAAAATACGATTGAGGATTTGGTGGTGCATTTACGGCACGAAAAATGTGAAATTTAAAAATTTTTTTATGAGATTTGTCATGGATAATATAATTTTTTGTTGGAAAATGGCTAATTTGATGTGGATTAGATTGCGTATGATGGTAAATGTAATTAAAATACTTTTGTTCCGCGAGAAATCGACTGGTCGAGCGATTTTTATCGAGTTTTCCCAAAATTTCCTAAAATTTTTGATAATTCCGATTTTTTTGCAGGGAAATGCAAGTTAATCGACACTAATCAACTCCCTAAACCCACTCGAGAGTGCCCCCTTCACATTTCACAGAACGTTATGGGAAAGACCCCGCAAACGACGCCTTCAACCAGCAGCGCGCAGGCCAGTCCCAGCCCCATGGATCGGCCGGTGAAAATCGCCGACAAAAAGGGCAGAAATGTAAGGAATTTTGGTTTTGAAATATTGTAGACATGTCGATTATGGTGAGATAAATGTTTTTCGGGGGATGCGATTTGGTAATCACCGGTTTTTTTGGCAGTTTTGGGGATCGGACCTTATTTTAGGTATAAATTTTAAATTTTTATCGAAGTTTAAGCGGAAATTTTGGGTAAATTGAATAAATATAGGATTTTTGTAGCTTTTGATTAACATGACAATACGATTTGTTTATTTTTACATTATTTTTTACAGCATAAAAAAATTTTTTTCAAAAATTTTAGTAATTTTTGATAAGTTTTTAAGTATGTTGGGTGTTTAGAAAAATCTCTCTAAAAACAAGCTGTGTGAAATTTGCCGGTATTTTACCTTTAATTTTTCAGCTGGGTCCCTCCGATTTCCCGCATCTCCTGGACCTGGGAACGGATGTCAGCGCCAAATTCAAAGGCGCTTTCTGCGAAGCCCGCGTCATGGAGGTGGAAACGGAATCCGTCGAGATCAGGGTAAGCCCATTTGTCGATAAAAAAAACAACTTTTTTGGGTCTTATTTCACAATTTTTTGGATTTTAGATAACCCTCAAAGAACAGCCCTTTGTGGAGTACATGGTGACCCCAAAATTGATCCGAGGCAAGGTCGCCGTCAACGAAACGGTCCAGCTTTACTTCGAAGGCCGACTGGTAGAGGCAATCATCCAGCATGTCAAGGATTTGAGCCGATATAAGGTGGTCTTCAACGATGGCGACGAGAAATCGCTGAGGCGAAGTCAGATGGTCCTAAAAGGCGCGAAACACTTTGATAGCCAGATCAATCTGGACAACTTGCCTCTGGACAATCCGGATAGGAACTCATCAGCGTATGTTGTTGTTTGGGGTTTGGTTTTGAGGGGATTTTGAGATTTTTGGGAGATTTATATTATTTTGGGCAGTTTTGGAGGGGTTTTGGCGATTTTTTTTTGTTTTTTGGTGATTTGAAGGGAACGAGGAACTTTTTTGTTTATTTTAGATTTTTTTAGGTTTGAAATTTCTAAAATACGAGTTTTTTATTTTAAAAATTGAATTTTGGACCTTATTTTGGACATTTTTGATAAAAATTATTTTTCCAAAAAAAAAAAAAATAATTTTCCAAAAAAATTTTTTAACCCGTATTTTAGATTTTTTTTGGTTTTGGAATTTTTTAAATACGAGGTTTTTTGACTTTAAAAATAAAATTTTGGACCTTATTTTAGACAGTTTTGAAAAATTTCATTTAATAAAAATAATTTTTTTTTTGTAAAATACGTTTCTCCATAGTTATGATTTCAATTGTTCCACTTCCAGTGACAACCTCGACCTCTTCCTCGGCACCTCCCGCTCCATTACCCGCCAGCTGAAGGCGATTTATCAAGGCGTGGATCCGGACATGGCGGACAGCCCGAAAAGCTCGAACCGCCACAACAACCAGTCGGATCAGTCGAGCCTTCAAGGATCCGACACCGACGCCGACACCAACACCAGCAGCAACGTCAGCCGCCCGAAGAAGAAGAAGATTAAACGCCAGAAGTCGGTCCAAAACTCGAGGAATTCGGTCCCCCGAAAGCGGCGAAAAAACGACTCCTCGGAGGAAAGCGAAACCTCCGAGGCCGAAAGTGTGACAAAAACACCAAAGAAAAAGCCCAAGAGCAGTGTGAAATTGAGCAAATAGTAAGTGATTTTGATATTTTTTTGGAAAATTTTAGATTTGAAGCGTTTTTGGGAAAAATTTTGATTTTTTGGCAGTTTCAAAGGGAATTTGAAGTTTTGAAATGTAAAATACGGCGTGTTTAAGCGTCATTATATAAGTTTTGTAGTCTTTTTGAGATTTTTTTGTAAAAAATTTTTTTTTTGAAATTTTCAAAATCAAAAAAATTTCAGCGAATCCGAAGACTCCTCGACCCCAGCACGAGAGATCAAAAAAGAAAAGAAAAAATCGCACAAACACTCCGAACTCGGCGAAGGCGTTTTGGTTGTGGGGAAAGTGAAAATGGAACGGCGAACGGCGGCTTTCTTCGGAATCATCACCTCTCCCAGCGCCTACATCGAAGCCGAACAGGAGTCGAGGGCGCTGGAAACGAACGAATTCCCAATTCGAATACTTCCGGATGGGAAATTGTGAGTTTAATTTTTGAAATTTATTAAAAAATTTTTTTTTTGAAAATTTGGCCTTTGCGGGGAGTGATGATTGGGGAAACTGAAAAGTATTCTTTTTCTTCGATGTAAGTGTCGAAATGAGGATAATCGACGGCGCTGATTTCGAAAATGATATTCATTTCTTTTTTTTGATCGTTACTTTTTTCCTTAAGTAGTACTGTAAAGCAGTAATTTTTTGAATTTTTTTTCCACAACTACTTGATTTAGGGGTTTTCGATGGTGCTGATTTCTAAAATCTTATTTATTTTTTTCGGATTTGAAATCATCACCATCGAAAACCCCTAAATCAATTAGTTGTGAAAAAAATTCAAAAAATTACTGCTTTACAGTACTACTTAAGGAAAAAAGTAACGATCAAAAGAAATGAATGTCATTTTCGAAATCAGCGCCATCGATTATCCTAATTTCGACACTTACATCGAAGAAAAATTATACTTTTCAGTTTCCCCACTTTTTCCCCGATCATCTTTTCCCCCCAATTGACGACGCTCCGCATACGGATTGATGTTTATTTTCATTCCAGAGGCGTCTTCCGTCAATCCCAACTCGAACCCTTCAACGCGGACCGCATCCCGGTCGACCAGCTCGGGACGAAACTCAAGAGATCCTTCGAGCTGGCCGTAAAGTACTCAAAAATGGGCCAGCTGCCGGAGGACTGGAGCGAGGAATGGATATTCGGACCGTCAAGCAAGTCGCGAAAAGTGGTACGAAAAAGAAAGCTCTCCGAACAGGGCTCGTCCACATCAATACCCACCGACCCAGCCCCATCCACATCGACCGCAACCCCCGTAAATCGACGCAAAGAACTCCGCGATCAGTTCTACGCGCGCCTGCAGAAGCATTACGATCGTAGCGGGCAGAAGCTGACGATTCAGCCGGTTGTGAATGGAGAAACCATCGATTTGTTCCAGTTGTTCAGATGCGTCCGAAAAAGAGGCGGCCTCAAAGAAATGAGCAAAACCTTGTGGATTCACTGTCTAGACTCGATGAATTTGAAGGGAATAGTCCCAGAACAGATCAAAGATTTATATACGAAGTATTTGGAGTCCTTTGAGAGCTGGGTCCGCCATAAAAAGGACCCGATTTGGACTGGAGAGAAGGAGAAGGTAAAATTTTTGAAAGTTTTTGATTTTTTTGATGAAAAAGGATGGTATAAATGGGTGAATTGAAAGTTTTAGGATAGAAGAGGGTGTGTAGAATTGTGGGGATGATGTTTTAGCAGGTTTAAAAAAATTGAAAAATTTTTTTTTCGAAATTTTTTGTTGAAATTTCGGGGTTTGACGTAATTTTTGAATTTTTTGATGGCATCTTGATGTTTAGGTGTTATAAATTAAATTTTGAGGTAATTGAAGTGTGTTTCCAGAGTTTATAAACCTAAGATTTGTCTTATTTTGAGATTTTTTCGAAAAATTTAGTCAAAATTAGTTGATTTTCAAAAAAAAATTTTTTTTTTTCATTGATAAAATCCGTATTTTTACCTTGATTTTATTGCAGAAGAAAGAGAAACAACGAACCTCTTCGGTGTCCTCAACCTCAAAAGCACCCACATCTACCTCACTTTCACCCGCCAAAAAGTCCTCAACCTCCTCCAAACTCAGCACTCCGGCCAGCGATAAACCCGCGAAAAAGTTGCCGAAACCCGACAAGTTGGAGAAAAAGAGCTCAACCCCCGCCATCAACAACTCCTCATCACAATCGAGGATAAAATCCCCAACAGATTTGGACGAGGATGATGGACATGTTCCGGCTGATATGTAAGTTTATTTTGATCATTTTTTTGTTGAAATTTAGGTAGAAATGAGGAGAGAATGGAGTCAACAGAGTGTGACGGCTGTTAAGAAGTTGATTAGCGCGACAATCGATGTGTTGATCGCCTAGTTTCGGAGCTATCACTAAATTTTTGAGATCAAAATTGATGAGGTCATGGATAATATAAAAGTGATGGTTTGGGCCTAAAGTTTAGGAAGTAGCTGATGTTTTTTGGCATCCCGGGGTAATAGAGGGTGTGAATTATGTGACCAGTAAATTCGAAGGTATCCATCGCATTGATTTAGCTAAATCAGAAAAATTTTGCGGCTAGTTGCCTACAGTAAGGTCTAGATGGATAAAAAAGCGGATTTTTAGTAAAATTATTGTCTTATTCAATAACTAGGAGTTGTTTTAGAAGAAGAAACGTAACTTTCAAAAAAGATTTTTCCCATTTTGAGTGAAAATTTTCGTATTTTCAGCTTCTCCCAGCTGGTGGAAACTCGGCACGTCCGCGCTGCCCACTACTCTCGATTCTACTCGGCGCGAGTTGTGGATGCTCGCAGAGTCCCCACAGACGTTATCCTTCGCGTTCTGACCAAGATCGTCGCCCATACGAAAGACCAGCCCGTGGTTTTGATAACCAACCCCCTTCATGTGGAGGCCCTGGAGGAGTTGGGCCGAATCACGATGGTCTTTGTCCACTACTGCGGCTGGAACAACCGCTACGACGAATGGGTGACGCTGGACCGGCTGAAAGTCACCCCCGAGACGAGGAAACAATCAATGCTGGCGTTGATGCGGAACTACAATTTCCCGATCACTGTCCTCGAAGCGGTCCACGATTTTTACGCGACGAGGAGGATAACAAAAGCCGCCTATAATGCAAGATGCAGAAAGGAGAAGTCGGGCGGACATACGTCGTCCGACGAAGAAGATACGACGATGATTTTGACGGCCGCCAAAAAGAAGAAAATCACTCCAGTCGCCATCAATCACGAAGCCCTGAAGCCGGAACTGAGGGCATTTTTGTACGAAGATGAGGGCTATGGAATCCCTGAAGTGAAGCCGGAAAAAGTGGAGAAAGACGCCTTTGATGATATACCGAATAGTGAATTAGCGGCGGCAAATGCGATCGTCTCGGAATCCGAGGCCCACAGAGAAACACCGAAGAGGCCAGGCGTGAAGAAGGAGAAGGATAATGAGAGAAAGATCAAGGAGAAAAAAGCGGATGAGGTCGCGGAAAAAGAAAAGGAAAGGGAAAAAGTGGACAAGGAGAAGATCGAAAAGCCCAAGAAGGAAAAGGAGAGCGCAGAAGGCCCTAAAGAGAAGATTGAAAAGCCCTCAAGTCCTAATAAAGAAAAGGATAAAGAGAGGAAAAAAGAAAAGGAAAAAGAGAAAGAAAGGAAGGAAAAGAAGGAAGAGAAAGAGAAGAAAAAGGAAGAGAGAACGAAAGAGAAAGAGGAGGAGAAAAAGAAGGAGAAAGAAGAACGAAAGAGAGAAGAGAAAGAGAAGAAAAAAGAAGAAAAGGAGAAAAAAAAGGCCGAGGAACAAAAGAAAATGGAAGAGAAAGTGGAAGAACTTAAGGAAGTTGAGGTAAAACCGGAAGAAAGCGAAAATAAAGGGGAACCAGAGGAAAAGAAGGAGGAAACACGACCAGAAGACCCATTGTCAGCCCTAAATGATACCATAAATTTGGTGGCACATCAAATCGATTTCCCCAAAAGTTCGACCAGCAGTCCGGCGAGGACCGTAAAACCGCTGGAGCTGAGCGCCGAAGAGAAATTCGATGAGATCCCACCTCCTCAATTCTCACCAACCCCGCAGTCGGCCAGCAGCACGCATGAGAACGCGTTCAATTTGCTTGATTCGCCTCAGGAACCAGTTAGAAGTGAGGACGAGAAAATGGAAAAGAAAAAAGAGGAGGTCCAGAAAGTGGAACAGAAAGAGCAGTCCAAAGCGAAGAAGGCGTTTGAAGCCACGAAACGAGACCTCATGATCCCACTGAGCCTTGACATGAATGTCAAAAGTCCAACTCCACCATTGCCCTCGCACGCATCCAGAGAAAGTACGATCACCAATAACAGCACCTTTGTTGGTCTGCAGTCAACCGTACAAACGGATGACTTGCTAGGCCCGGAAGTCCTGCGGCAGTTCGAAGTGGAAAGAAACCACCTTCCAGCCGACCCCCCACAACCTCAAAAGAACCGCAAGAAGGAGGACGACACTCAAATCACCGGCAGAGACATCCAGCAGATGCTCATGAACTTGGGCCTCATTGCGCCCTCCACAAGTCAACCAATCTTGTCGACGAAAGTTCAGCAGGACCTGGACAACAGCTTCAATGCGCGGAGAAACAATATCGAACTCCTCTCCCGACAGCTGGATGAGACCAAACAACAGGAACTTCAACTGCAGACCGATCTTTTGAGACATCAACTTTTGTCCAACCAACTGCAATTCCAACTGAACCGACCGAGTCATATGGAAGGTCTCCTCTTGCCAGAACACGTCCAAATCTTCCAACAAGCCCTAATCTTGGCCCAGCGACGTCGGCAAGAACTCGAGAGACAACTGGAATTCGAGAGAGTCCAGAATTTCCCAGTACAAGGAGCTTCCACCAGCCTACTACAGCAAACCCATCTAACCATCGCGCAGCTGGCCGCACAAAGACGACAACAACTCGAAATGAGCGCACAGAACTTGCTGGCAAACTCGCTGCCTTCAAGACAACACCAGATGTTCACATCGACAGCAGGAAGTTCATTAACTTCAACTGTGAATGACATCAACTTTGGAGGGGACAGCTCGAATTCAAGGCAAAGTCAGCAGAGTTTTGCCGACAGAATCCCAGCTAGTAATGCTGGGAACAATTCCGCAACGAATTTCGGCTTGAACAGCCAGATCAACGCGTCCGTCAGCCAATTGCAACAACTCACCCAGCTGGTACAAGGTCAAACCCAGAACAGCTCCATCCTCCCCTTGTTGAACAGCCTGCAACTGGCGAACACCGACCAAATCAGGATGAGTCTCACCCTGATCGAGCAACAGTACGGCACCGACATTGCACAAGCCGTCCAAAGCGAATTCGAGTCGAGGCTCTTGAATCAGCTGCTGATCTCTCTCCAGCAAACAACTCCAGCCCCAACCCCACCTCAACCAACAAGTCAGCCGGCGTTTAGTCAACAAAACGCATGGAACTTTAGCTCCTCCGCCAACGCACAAACCATCTTGTCCATGGACACGTTGGCTACAAGGTAGGGAGAAATTTTTAACAAGTACTCCTATGGGGTGTGGAGTTACAGGTCGAGTCATATATCAAAAAAAATCGCAAAATTTTTCTGATTCAGAATATGTAAAAGTTAGCTGCCTAATTTTGGTGGTGTCAGGGTGAAAAGATCCTCAGAAGTTTTCTCGCAACACCACACAAATTCCAACTTTTTTATATTGGAACTACTAATTAAGGTGTAGTATTAGTCAAATTTGATATTTTAAGGCTGGTCAAGGTGCCCACGCAAATGCCTTTTTGACAAAGTTTTTACCAAATCAAAAGCTTTGTTTTGAGCTAAAGTGAAACCCTGGCATCATTTGCGAGAAAAGTTCTGAGGATTTTTTCACCCTTACAAACCAAAATTAGGCAGCTAACTTTTACGTATTTTGAATCAGAAAAATTTTACGAATTTTTTGATATATGACTCGACCTGTAACTCCATACCCCATAGAAGTACTTTCCTCACAATTTTGAGTGAAGAATTAGGTATTCACCGTGAAAGTTTAGTTTAACCCCCTCGACCGATCGCACAGCCACACCACGAGACCCATGCGACATCCCATCCACATCGAGCGCGATTTTTCCTCAGTTCTCCGCGACTTCTCAACCATCCCAAGTCCGAGCCGAAGTCCGGCTTGAACGGGTCCCTGAGATCGCCAGAGCCACCGTAACCCTTGATGAACATGTTCATCAAGAGTACGACGCTCCAGTTCAATCTCAGCCATGCGAGGATTGCGGCTCAGCAGCTCCGATTTTCAGCAAAACCCCCATCAACACGCTGCCTCCACATCTGAGGTCCGAGATTTTGGATTTTTGCGCGAAAAAGGAGCATTTGGGCAAGGAGCGAAGAGGCCGCCCTCAACAGGATGTGTCAGGCATGTCAAGGAACGCTCAGAAGCATGCGGTGGAGAAGCGAAAGCTAGAGGATCAGATGAAAGACCTTCGCGAAGGAAATGGGAACCATATTTTACCAGTGGACCCTAGGTTTCAGGTGAGAATTTTGATGGGTTACTGAAGGTTTTTGGGGATGAATTTGGTATCATTAGAGAGCTGAGGAAGTAGAATAAATGATTAGACGACTTTTGAGAGATTTTGGAGAAAACGACCGGTCGATTTTTGAGGATTTTAAAAAGTTTAGGCGGCGTTTGGAAGCTCTTGATTTCTCTGTGAAAAAAAGGCGGAAACTATTGATTTTTCTGCGACAAAAGGTGTGTTTTTGATTTGATTTTGACGTAATATCAAGCGATATCATCTTTTTTTTCTCTGTCAAGTGACAGTAGAGAGAAGAATTAGATTTTTTTATATAAAAAAGTTCGAGGTTCCCATATTCCCCCTACTTATTAGACATCCCCAATATTTTTGTCTATTTCAGGAAGTAAAACGAGCATTCGAAGTCCCAACAATGTCGGATGTGATGAACTCAATTGGCCTCGACGTCTTCAACCATCAACGAACCCCCGAGACCGATGCGTATCAGAGAAATGCGGAAGAGGAGCTGAGAAGCAAATCCAAAGAACAAATCGAATCGGATGTCCGAAAACTCTTGGAACTCAACAACTTGCTGAAGCCAGAACCCAAGAAAGAGAATGGAGGCACACCGTATGAGGAGGAGAAGCGGAAAAACGAAAGACAACTCGAGATTTTGAGGAACACGGTCCTCGGAATGGCTGATTTGGTGGAAAAGGAGAAGATCAAGACCGGATTGGCCGGATTTTCCATCGAAACCACCCCGGAAATTGATGGATTGAGTAAGGATTTTTGAAGAATTGAAAATTTTGAGGTTTTTGTCGATGTTTGGCAAAAAATTGCGGTAATATTATTTATGGAACGTCAATTGAGGAAAAAGACGATTGAGGAACCTGAAAAGTATTATTTTTCTTCGATGTAAGTGTCGAAATTAGGATAATTGATGGCGGTGATTTCGAAAATGATATTCATTTCTTTTGATCGTTACTTTTTTCCTTAAGTAGTACTGTAAAGTAGTAATTTTTTGATTTTTTTCATAACTACTCGATTTTGGGGGTTTCGATGGTGCTGATTTCGAAAATCTTATTTATTTTTTTTTTTTGAATTTGAAAGCAGCACCATCGAAATCAGCATAAAACCCCCTAAATCGCGTAGTTGTGAAAAAAATTACTATTTTACAGTACTACATAAGGAAAAAAAGTAACGATCGAAAGAAATGAATGTCATTTTCGAAATCAGCGCCATAAATTATCCTAATTTCGACATTTACATCGAAGAAAAATAATACTTTTCAGTTTCGCCAATTGTCTTTTCCCCAATTGACGACGTTCCATGAATGATACGACCGTCTTTTACTCTCTTCTTCCCCAATCGTCCCTCCTAGTCATTTATACAGCACTACAATAGTTGAAATCAATACTAAATTTTTCGTATTTTAGTCCAACGAACCCAGAACGAGCTGGCCAAAGAGAGAGAAGCCTTCCGTCAAACCGAACTGGCCCGCCAAAAATTGGCCAACGACGTGGGCAGGGAACAACAGAACAAAGTGAATGGCATCGTCAAGGGCCGAAAACTCTACTAAAATTGATTTGGAACCCATCAAAAGAACATTGGTATCAAGGATAACATCGAAATGGCCGATGATTCAAATTTCAGCCTACAAACAACTACAAAATCAATAACCAAACATCCAGGAACATGATTTGAACAATTTTGACTATTATTTTGATCGTAATCGTTGTTAAAACTTCGTTTAATCAAGCCCCACCCCCTTTTTTTCGTCGATCTCATTTTTAATATTCGAATTCCGAATATTGACACGATTTCCCCTCGCATTTCCAGCACTCGCAGAGCCCCGGTTCCATCTGCCTTTTTGTCTCAGTAAACGATAAAAAAAAAGTTGTAATCAAGACCTTATGTTGTACATGTTCAACGTCGCAGCAGTGTATTTTCTGAATTTTTCTTCGATTTTCATGAGTTTGATTTTGGTTTAGGAGGGTTTACTATGCATTTAGAGGAGTTTGGCATTAAATTTTGGAATTTTTAGAGGTTTCGAGACCTAAAATTAGATCAATTATATTACACTTGAGGTTAGAAGTGTAATATCAATTTTTTTGCCTTTTTTTTCTCTTTTAATTAAATTTTTATGCCACATACGAACTAAAAATTTCATAAATCGTACTGCTGCGACCCATCAAATGGCCTTAGCTTTTCTTTTTCCGACTTTTACACGTTTTTTATTTTTTACATCGAACCGAAACGGGTGATTACTATTGTAATTCTTTTCTAAATGGTCTTTGCTAGTGAAGCCTAGATACCTGTACACAAGTTGCCATACGTTTTTAATGCGAAAATGGAAAAAAGAGCCATTAATAAAGGATTTGAAAATTTGATGACCATCGGAATATTTTTTTAATTTTGTGGATTTTTGGGGTCTAAAAATTTATCGACGGCAGTGATTATTGGTGTTAATAGGCCTGAATAGACTAATTTTGGAAGTTAAAAAGCTCCCGTATGAGCAGAACATGGAGAAATTAAAGGCTGATATTACACTAGGTATCCTGACAAAATTGATAAACAGCTCTAATCTGGTAGTTGTAACTGATGTAAACTTTTTCCCAACGACATCTTACACTCCTATCTTCACATTTCAAGCCATTCGCCTCCAAAAATCTCAAAAATTTTACCGAAATTTCCAATTTCCCCATAAAAATCAAGTTCTCCAAATCCAATTATTTTTTTGATTTAATAACGATAAATATCAGCATAATTAGATGAAGAAAAGGGTACCCAATCAAATGAGCTTCGAGTAATTCGACAAATCGCCGCAGGGCAATAGAAAAAAAAAATCGAAAAAATACAAAAAAAAACGAATATTTTTTTGATAAGCCTCTACAATTACGAAAAACGCGTGTACCAGTACAGACTACCGTCTAATAAAGAGCAAAAAGAAAAAGAGAGATGATAAATACCGCGCAACAGGGCTTCGCATACAACATCGGATGACCGAGAGAGAACACTCGTTGACGAATATATAGCTACGTTTTTACAATTTTAAACTGTAATTTACAATCGAGTGGCATATCCTGTCGTCTAGCCAAGAACGAGTAGACCCAGAGATGACGTGGAAGTTCATTTTACGGACTTTCGGGAAGAGTGGGGACGACGGATTTTTTGCGTCATCGTGACATGCTAATTTCGTCATCATGACGGGATAAAATTTTAGGAAAATTTTTTTGTTGACCTCTAAGAATTTTTCATTTCAATTTCGATCGAAAAACTGGCTTCTATCGCTATTTTTTCACTGTCATGATGACACTTTAAATATGTCATCATGACATGGTTAAAACACAAAACTAGCTCTTTAAGATTACTGTAATTTACCTAAAGGCTATAAAAAATCAAAGTTAATCTTAAAACACCAAAAAAATCTGTCCTAACAGCCAAAAAAAATAAAAAAAAATCTCAAAAAACTGGTATTGACCACCAAAAATCAAACAATTTCAAATACAAAACCAAAAAAAACATGTCACGGTCCAAAAGATCCGGATTCAGATAGATGGAGGAAAAGGGGAAAAAAACAAGGGACAATCCTGTTTACTCCGAGTGTAATAATTGGAGAGGGGGGCAACAAAAAACATGAACGTTGGACAAAAACACGAAAAAACTTTTAAATCAAATAGTAAAAACATGTGAAAACATATCAATAACATTATATTATAGTTGGGGTTTCTTTCTGCTTGCTCTCTAATTGTGGATAACGATCGCCTTTTCGGCGTGCAACGAACGGGATGGGCGGGATTTGTTGGCGTGGTCGATGCCGAGGTAGGGGGTGATCAGGATATCTGAAACCGCGTTGACTATTAAATGGGTGAGATGCGGGGGTCGGAAGGATTAGTGCGGGGGTCCGGAGAGCGGTTAAATCCCAACCTACTTTGTCCTTTCACGTCGGCCGCGTTGATCGGGGCTTCGTCTTGGTCCAGCTCCTTCATCACGCGGTTCCCCACCACCAGGGTGAATTTGAACTGAAAAACAGATGCATTAGAGGGTAAATTATACGAATTTAAATCCTATCAAGTCTTAAGTTCCCCATGACAAACTTTTTTAGGTACAAAACAAACTTTTCATAATATTATTTTAGGTAACACTTGTCCGAAAAACAACATTTGTTACCTTTTATTTGGCAGTAAAACCCGATAAATTGCCATAGAGCACTCTATATTCGTCCCTAGCATTCAGCAACTCCATCAAAAACAACAAAAATTTTAAAAAAATTATATTACTTTAGGTAACAATTGTTGAAAAAAGTATTATTTTCAATTTATTTCAAGTCTAAAACGACCTTAACTAACATAAAATGATCTAATTCGACTCAAAAATCTCTCCAATTCATCAAAACATACAGAAACTACAAAAAATTATATTACTTTAGGTCACAACCCCAAAAAAAAATTCAATTTTCACCCAAACAACTCCTCAATTCCTCTCAACCCCCTCAAATCTTCTTCCTCAACTCCTCTTACCTTCTCAAAATCCCTATCGCTGACTTCCAATGCCTGTCGGACCCGCTTCTTCAACTCCTTGAACGGTTCCCCGTCCACAAGTTTGATGAAAAATGGTGTTCCGAACATCTTCGTTGGCTCTTTCTCGTAGTGCGCAACAGCGAGGAGGGTCTCATTCGGGGCCAATTGGACCTGATCGGTGGGGATTTCCTCCACCCTCAAGTTGGAGGAGGAAGCGTGCGACGCCAGGGTGTGGCACATCGTCTTACTGGCCAGCTGATTGATCGGAGTGTCGTTTGGAACTACCTAAAAAACAGATTATTAATAATCACATAATAATTTGACAGTTCCAAGGACAAATTCCACTACAGTGGCGGACCTGATACAGTGACAAAAAAGTATCATTTTGCATCCGGGAAGTATGAAAAATGTGGCAAAATACCTCCTTCTCCCAGTGAAAAAACTCCGATTTCAAAAGCGCCCTTGAAACGGAGTTTTTTAATTGGAGAGGGAGGCATTTTGCCACATTTTTGATACTTCCCGGATGCAAAATGATACGTTTTTTGCCATTGGATCAGATCCCTCACTGCATTTCCATTCAATTCACCAAATTTTAACGCAGATTTAAAAAACAATTCTAAAAATCTCAAAGTTTCGATAAGTCCAACTCAAAAAAACAAGAATTTTTTCAACTCTACTGCTTCTTCTCTCCACAATCATCAAAATCAATCCGAAATAACCACAAAAATTATTTACTTTCCCCAAAATTTCAAAAAAAATCATTTCAGACCTAAAATCCTCAAATTCGGCAAAAAAATCATAAAAACTGCAACAGACCCCAACAAATCCTAATAAAAAATTGTTCGCTCTCCCTTTCTACCTCTTATTCTTCCTCTGAATTCCAAAAAAATCCTTTTTCATCCAAAAAAATTTTCAAATTTTCGAAAAATCCCATGTTTCCTCCAAACCCCCCAAAAAAATTCCAATATTTCACCGGTAACCCCTCAAAACTTCCTCCAAATCGCCCCAAACTCCTACCTGATATACTCTGCTTTGACTCGGATTATTAGCCACATGAACCAATCGGAGTTGGCCGGATCCATTCGGTGCAAACTCGACATATTCGCGGGCGGCTTCCAGGATATCGGCGACGGTGCCTTCCTTGGGCGGGAAGACGCTCCATTCTTTAGTTTGGTATTTCTGATCCATTATTCCTACTCTGACATGTTTGTGTTCTTCCAGTTTGCTCGCTAGGATCGGGATCTTCGAGTAATACACGGTATAAGGGCGGCTGCTTCTCGGGTCATGTATAACATTGCCATTCAGCCCGACCACGTCCTGCATTGTGTACCGTCGGAACTCTTCTTGGCCCACGATCGGTCCTGGCCGATCTGCCGGGATGGTGGACCTCCAAAGGACAATTTTCTTGGGGTCAAAGTCGATCCGCGAGCCCAAAATCTCGCAAAACTCGCTGAGGCTGGCGTCCGTCTGGATGTTGATGTAGATCACGTCCGTGTTCTGGTTCAGGTTGGTGGCGAAAAAGTCGGTGTTGCAGACAGCTTCTACCTGCATTCGGCCGTACATTTGTTGGAAAGCCTGCGGCAGGTTGTTCGAGTCCGTGATGGCGCCCGCATCCTCGGCGATGAAGATGATTCCATCCGTGATTAAGTGGCGATCGGAGCGGATTGGGAGCTCTTCGTTGGGGTGCACTTGGTATATGTGGTCTGGGGAGACTTCCTGAAGAAAAATTGACATTAAAATTGAAAAAAAAAAATCAAAAAAGTAAAAAAATTTAAAAAAAAAATTTTGCCCAACACTTTCAAAAACCTAGATTGTGAATGCTAAAACAATCTGAATTACTCAAAAAATAAACTTTCACACCCTATTTTACCTCTCATGCTCAAACAATCAAAAAAAAAAATCCAATTTCCCTCAAAAAATAAATTTTTTCCTCAAAAAACTCAATTTTCCCCCAAAAAAATCAACAAAACATCCCAAATCTCCCCCAAAAATGACTTCCTCAAGACAACTCGACATTAAAATTGAATAAAACTTCCAAAAAAATTCTAAAAATTTTTTTTAAAATTTGCCCAAAACTTTCAAAAACTTGAATTCTGAAAGCCAAACCAATCTAAACAGCTTCAAAAAGAACCTTTCACACCTTTTTTACCTCTCAGACTCACAGAAAATCAAAAAAAAAAGTCCAATTTCCCACAAAAAACTCAATTTTTTCCCCAATAATCAATTTTTTCCCCAAAAAAATCCCACTTTTTCTTCAAACAACCAACAAAAAAGCTCTCAAATCCCCCAAAAAAATTCACCAAAAAAATCTCAACAAATTCCCTCACCAAATACAAATTGAGATTTGTGGACAACGGGAGATGAAGTTTCTGTTTGATGACATCCAGGTAGTTGGAGACGGACCTCTCCACGTCCATCAGGAACGATCCGTGATACGTAATCTTTCTTCTATGGTGATTATAGAACTTCAAGAACGCGATGACCATCGTTTCCGCATTATATGGTTGCAGGTGGGTCTTGAGGACGGTCATTTTCTCGGGGTCGATTTGGTTGGTGCCCAGCTCAATGTAGTACACATTGTCGGCCTTGGGGTCGTAAAAGATGGGGCTCTGCTGTGGGGCGTTCTCCGCCGGGCATGGGATGTAGGTGCGGGGGCGGCGGCTCTCCAGGATGTTGCTGTAGCCCTCTTCTTTCGAGCCGTAGACAAGGTCGTATCTCCACAGGCGGAACGAGTCGATCGGGACGCTGATCACCGACGAAACTTTTTTGTAAAAGTCGCGAGCCGTCGAGCTCTTCGCCACTCGAATCGGGGCTCCCATTCGGCAAGACTGAAAAAGAATCCAATTATCCAAAGAAATTCAAATTTTTGAGCAAAAACATTGGAAAAAATCTCAAAAACAATCAAAAAAATCTCAATTCAAACTCTAATCCGTAAACGCAAGATGCTAATTACGCCGTATTTTATCCAAAAAAGAATTTTTTTTGTACAAAAACTTTTTTCGAAATTAAAACTTTCGCCAAAATATCTCAAATTTCAAAAAAATTTTCCTCCAAAAAATCACAAACTTTTTTCCACTAACTAAAAATAGAATCCTTATTTTGCTTTATTCTGCCTTCTACCCTCAAAAATTTTAAAAAATTCCACAAAAAAATCAAAAATTTTAAAATCCAGCACTTCCATTCAAAATTTCCCCCAAAAAACTTCACATCTCTAAAATTTTCCTTCAAAAAATCGCTCTCCCATTGCCCTCACACTCTATTTCTTCCAAAACAATCAAAAAATCTCAAAAATCCCCTCTAAAAAACAAAAAAAAATCGCAAAAATCCCCAAATCCCCTCCAAAAATATAAAAAAATTTCCAAAAAATCGAAAAAATCCCCTCAAAAAAAATTTTCAAAAATTTTCAAAGAAATCGCAAAATCCACAAAAAATCGAAAAACTCTCCATCCTCACCTTGATCGCATCATAATCGCCGATATCAAAGCCCAAATGATCGGTCAAATGTTCGTCGGTGACCACAATGACGTCGGTGAAGAGTGTGGCATGTTCGCGTTCCCTTCTCCGGACCAGTTCCTCTTCCTTTTCATTTTCCAGGCGTTGTTTTAGATGGGTGGGGATGTCAATCTCAGCCACTGAGCACATCACATCGTCCAGTTTATTCTTCTGCACGTAGACCAACATGTAGGCGTTTGAGCAGGACCGTCCAGTTTCCTGATCGTCTCCGCCGAAGTTATTTTGCACGGCTTCTCGAATGGGGCATCTGGCCACCACATCGTCGTCGAATTTGCACCATCTGGGCTGCTGGGATCGGAGGTTGGTGTTGATGTAGACCACGTAGTGGCCTCCGTGGAAGTCGCCGGCATGGACGAGGACGCATTGCAAAAGGTACGTGTAGTCATCCTGCTCACCGCATTCATCGATAAACTCGTTTAGCTGGAGGACTTCCGGAAATTCGAATCTGAAATTTAAAAAAATGTCAAGTATAATATAAAAAATCTCAAATTTTTAGCTCTCAATTCTTCTATAGTTGATTTCACACCCTCAGAATCCTATTAGCACTCAAAAAAAATTCAAAAAACCAAAAAAACCCTCAAATTTCCAAAAAAATCTAAAACAATATCCAACACCTCTCGAAATCTCCAAATTCAGTCTTCGATTGTCTCACAAATCCAAGTTCCATCATTTCCCATCAATTCTCGCCTTTTCCTAAACTCAAAAGAAAAAAAAAAATTCAAAATCTTACCGATCATTGACCTTAACATTGGCATCTTGTTGTGGGTCGTATTGAAACCTCATGAGCTGAAGATGCAAGACCGGAGGGAAGGCGACAAATTTCACACCCTTCTCGGCCTTCTGCATCCCCAATTCCCCAGCATCGTACATATTATCGCCATCGAGGACTTCGGACTCCGTGTAATCGCGGAAGCTATCAATAACTGAAAGAAAATGGTAAATCATGTGGTAAAGGCGGTAATAAACCCCATGGAATTGCTCAAACAGCAGTAGGAATCTCTGAACATCCATAATAATCTTTTATCACTACTCAATTTCTCAAAAATAACTTTAAAAAATTCAAAATTTCCCAAAAAATCCAAATTTGGACTATTTTCTGATTTTTGGTCAAATTCAACGGTAAAAAGTCTCAAAAGTTCATCTCCTATATATAAACCACATTGAAGACCATCTATTCCCTCAAATTAAAACAATTTCCACAGCTGGCTCATCAAAAATTTCCCAAATTTTGCAAAAAATCAAAAGCCCTCGCTACGACTGCACAGTGCAATCACAAAATCTCCAATATCTCGATTCCAATCGCTTCAATCTTCCTAAAATTCAACAAAAAAAAATAAAAAAAGACTTACTGTTCGCCTTTCCCTTCACATTCAGCTGAACATCGTAGAAAAATTCCTCTCTGGACGACTCGAACGAGACATCAATGCATCTAACATAAGATCGCATTTTGCCTTTGAAAAGTTTCGGAATGGTCCCTTCAACGGTCGTATTCGACATTTTAGACTCCAAATTGTCCAGTAGAACTCTGCACAGTTCTTGGACGTCATGTTGGAGGAAGGAGTCGACAGCGTCCCATCCGAAAGATTTCGTTAATTTCCTCGTTCCCACTGGAGTGTCGCTGAACTGGAGCTCAAAGAAAACTCTCTGCATCGCTAGGGCAACAGAACTTTCCGGGTCATCCTCATCAGTCGGCATCATATAGACGGCTTTCCGCAATTTATTTGTGAAGAATAAGGTCTGGAGAATCGAATTCATATAACATGTGGCTCCTTGATTGCGAAGACCAATATATCCGGCATGTCGCTTACTGTCCCAACTGAAAACAATTTTTATTATACAAAAATTCAAAAAATTTTGTCAAAATTCAAAAAAATTTTTTTTGAAAAAACATCAAAATTTGACTAAAATAAGGTCCGAAGGTGTCCCTAAAATACTCCTCAGACCTTCATGATTTTTTATCTATCATAAAAATCCATTTGAAATACAAAAAAAATATAAACCCTCAAAAATTTCCAAAAATTTTTTTCATCTCACCTAAAGTAATATCCCAACCCTCTCAAAATCAATTTATATCCCATGAAAACCCCTTCAAATCCCCTCAATAACCTCCAAACTTACTGAACACCATGTGGAGCATCAGCAGAGACGTCAACTTCTAATCGAACCACATCATCCTTTATGTAACCGCCACTCTCTTCCAGCAGCTGATCGCACTGCACGAACTGCGAGTATCCCCAGTCGTTTTCTTTGGGATGAAAGGTGTGGGAGATTCGTCGGATGTTGGGCTCGATTCCCTCCTTCATGGGGACGATGCGGAGCATCGCCGAGGCCGAGCAGGACCAGTTCTCGCCGTCGCCCGCCTCTCCATTGCATTGCAGGAAGAAGCCAAGGCACTTGCCGGTCTGTCGGTTCGGAGATCTGGACCCATCGCGCGGGATTGCCAAGATTTTCCATGGCATGCCACGGATGTAGACGGCTTCCGACAGTCGTTGTGGGTTCTCGGCGGGCAGTCCTCGTGCAAAGTCCGAAAACCGATCAATTTCCAGTATCACTGTTCCTTCGGGTTTATAACGATCTTCTGAAACAAAGATTGTGCCGTTGACGAGCTAACAAGCCTAGCTTCATATTGTAAAGGCAAAAAATTTCCGCAAAAAATTCTAAAACAACATGACGACTAAAACTCAAATTGCTCAGAGAAAAGCTACACAATAAGTGTGTAGCACCTTCCATAAATGACAAAACCTTTACTTCTATACCATCTATCTATTCACAGTCGGTAACAACGGATTTTGTGAGAAAAATTATAAAATTTGCGAAGAAACGTCAGTTCCACCATGAATAACACATTTTTTGGAGAAAAACAATCCAAAACCTTTCTAGATGCTAGAAATTGGCATATACGAGATACCTAAAGACAGAAGCAATAATATAAAATGCTTACCAGGATCAAATTCGTCATTTTTTGCTGATCCAGCTGGCTGTTTGTCTTTTACTGGAGCAAATTCTTCTTCCATTCTGTTAGCTCCTGTAATTATATGAGGTTATTAGAGCTATCCTTTCTTTTCAATTCGAACCTCGAATTTGGCAGAAGACGCGATGAAAACATAAAAATTTCGGAAAGATCTAGAGATTTAGGACCAGCAGGTGGAAACAGTCGTAAATCCACTTTTTTGCAGGGTTTCAAATGTTCATAAGCAAGATTAGGGATTTAGGAAGCTGATTAGACAATAATTTCAAAAATAAAAGCTGTCAAAACACGAAAATTTTGTCGAAACTTGTCTAGTACAATGTCGGAAATAAATTGATCAAAAAAAGCTCGAAACACGAAAAAAATCGGCAATGTTTTTTTGCGAAAACATAAAATGCTCTACGCAACAACTATCGCGCACAATTACTCAACTGAAAACGCACGACTCCCACTGTGAAAATAATATTATTCATAAGGTATCAACTAAACTTTCTACGTAGTTTCTTGGCTGAAAAAGGGGTATAAAGAGGATAAACTCGTGTCCACCAGGTCACACATTGTCTCGAGATCAAAACGGCACTTTCTCGAGGCTGAAATAGCGACTGAACACATAAAATCTTGACCGAGCCTAAAACAAGGTGTCCCACCTGGAAAAAATAGCTAGGAATCTACATTTTCTAGCAATTTTCAACCAGAAAAGTGAAGAAACAACAAGAACAAAGTACGAAGTGGCTAACAGAAAGAAAAAAATCTAGAATAACAGGAGAAATAACATCAAACGAAGGGATATTATACTTGATGGACCTAAAAACAAAAACTCGAAAATAACGCGCGTCCGCCTTGCAGAAAACGATCAGCCACTTGTAGTAAACCTTTCAAGAGTGTCGGTGGGATCAGTCCAACCAAAACTTCCAGCAAATTTTGTGGTTCGCCTTTTGCGAAATGCCGTAAACAAGAAGCGGACCTTTTTTCACCCGCGAGAAATCAAAAAACTGTTCGAAGACGGCTTGAATCACCGGCTTTTTGTCGACCTCTCCGTCCGAGTAGACCTTGGCTTTTGTGGCGAGCATCAGAGAACCGAATTTCCGTGTTCCTCCAAAAAATTCGTCGGGTTCTGCACGTTTTTGAGGCCGATTTCTCGGATTTTAGGTCTAAAAATCAAGAAAATGATTTCAAAATCAAAAATCTGCCGGAATTTCGGGTCCGTGAGTGGGCCAGCGGTTCCGTGGCCCATCTTTTCCAGCATCCTATTACACAAACCCTCGAGCAATTTCGGGTCGGCGGAAACCGCGGGTTCGCCGAACGCACTGTGCACAATTGCCCGTAAACATTGCACAGTGCAGTCGGCGGGGTTTGGCCGCGCAAAACTCGCATGCCCACCACCGCTCGGCCGGCGGAAGGTACGCACCACCCGAGGGAATGGTCAGTCCGGCTGCTCGGATTTTCGAGGTCAGCCGCAGAGACGAGGCGCGATGGAAGAGAGGGGCGAGAGAAACGCGGGTCGGCGGCGATTTCTTCCGCGAAAACAACGAAAAATCGCGGATTTCCGCAGGGAATGGAAGAGACGCCAGAGAAAATGGGGCTGTAAATGAGCAGCTGCAAAATCTCCGCCGTTTCCCGAGCAAGTGCGCACTGTTTCCCGGCTTCGTGAAGGCCAAAATGCACAAAAACCCGGAGAGAAAGTGGCCGCCGAAGAGCACGCAAAATAAAGAGAGTGCACACAAAAGAAATAGAATGCCGAAAGAAGAGCGCTAAAAGCAAGGGAAAGAGAAAAGAAATATCGAAGGGATGAGGAGAGAGCGAGAGAATCCGGCTCATGCGAGAGAAAAAGTGAAGAGAGTGCGTGCAAGTGGGAGAGCGTGAGGGAGTCGGCGAGGTTAGAGAACCGCGAGAGAACACGGTGAATAAAAGAGACGATTTTTCTCTAACCTCTTTGGGAAATATCGGGTGGAAAGCGGAGAGTGCAGAGAAAAGTTGTTGCGAAAGGTCGTGTAAGACAAAGGAGGCCATATCTGCTATATAAAACATGCATTGGAGCGGCTTTTTGGTGCGATTACGCTTCTTTTCATGGCATTCTCTGGTCGAACGCACAAATTTTTTTAAATTGGGAATGTTTTCGTTGCGAAACAGAGCAAACGGAAGGATGAGTAATGAGAAAAGGAAAATTTTAAAAGTTATCAGGTTAAAAAATTTTTTTTGACAACTCAGTTGGTAGATTCAGCGTCAGCCGCGATATTCATCCATCTTTGGGAACAGAGAGCACGAAAAATAAGGAGAGTCGGCAAGACAAAAACACTTGTTTGTTTCGTTTTTTTCTGCCCAGAAAAACCCATTTTTATCTACGAACGTTGTAGATGACTCTAGTAACCGACCTTGTAAAATTGACGAACATAAAAGGCAAAAATTAATTCCATCAAAAACGTCGGTTCCAGGAAATTTTATACAGAAAAAAGTTCCTGAATATCAACAAAAATCTCCCCCATCGTAATTCTCCAGACAACGTGGCCTGTGTGACGCAATTGACGGGTTGTTGACGTCCAAGCGCAGAGAAAATTGACAGAATCCGCGTTGATTCTGTCAATCGAATTCACATTTTTATGTATATTGGGGTATGTGGCTGTAAGAGAGATGTCCAAAGGAATGCCAGGGAACATTTTACAAGGTGATTGAAGAAATTTTGAAAAAAAAGACTTTTTGCGGATATCTTTTTGCTCGTTACAGCTATCCAAGGAGTTTAAAGTTGTGTTTACCGAGGTTCCTATAGTATAAAAATTGCGTCAAAAGAGATGTCATTAAAAAAAAGACAAAAAATTGTGACACAAAAAAACGTCTAAAAGTTAAACTTTATACAAAACCACAGTAAACATCATAATCCAACAGTCTACTCTTTCATTATCCAACTTGAAGTTCATTCATTTGCGAGTTAATTCCATCATCTTCCACATTGACCATCTCAATGTCATCATCCTTGAAAACGCGGACGCTCCTAGGTGGGCCTAGTTTTTGCTGAATGTCTTCGGGGATTTGTCCATGAGTAGTTCTGGAATTCATCAAAACAGTGATGGCATTTCGTTGCACAGCATGCGATTCGGCCAGTCTTCGGTACTGGTCTTGGATCTCGTCGATGCGGAGTAAATGCTGGAGGCGTTGGTTTTCGATCACCGCCGAGGCCGCTTGCTCCCACATGTAGTGGGTTTCGCACGTTTTCCTCTCGTTCATGCACATCCCGTCCTCGAGGATGTCCATTTTGAGGAACATCTCCTCCAGTGGAAGGGATCGGACTCGGGTCCAGGCCAGCGGGTAGCCGCAAATCTGAACGAAATACATTTTTTTCCAAAAATCCCAAAAATCTTTTTCCCTAATTCTCAAGAATCAAGCAATTTTTGAAAAACTTTCTGCCATATTTCCGGAAACACCCTGTACAGTGACGGACCTGATCTGTTGCATAATGCCAAGAATCCAATCCAAAAGTTTTTTTCACTGGAAGAGGGAGGCATTTTGCCACATTTTTTATACTTCCCGGATACAAAATGGCATGGTTTTTGCCACTGGATCACGTCCCCCACTGTACAGGGTGTTTCAAGAAAAATGGCAGAAACTTTTTCAGAAATTGCTTGATTCTTGAAAATTAGGGAAAAAAATTTTTGGGATTTTTAGAAAAAAATGTAATTTTTAAAATATTTTAGAGGTTCATTGGGTCAAAAATTGCTTGATTCTTGTAGGTTAGGGCCTTGTTGCTTTGGGAAACACATTTTTAAACCTCTGACGATAAAAAATGTGATTTTTCTGTTGAAAAGTTAAATTTTTATCAATTTTAGCACATTAATTTAGATTTTTGAGCGATTTTGGAGTTTGAACATGGATTTAGTGCCCTAAAAATGATACTAGATGTGTTGGCATTGCGTCACATTCATATTTCTGGGTGTTTCAAGAAAAACGGTAGAAAATTTTTGCGAATATCTTTCAACTCTCCGGAGCTATCGCGGAAATTCTTCTTGCTTCCAAAAATTGAAGTTGGGCGATTTTGTAACCAGCAAAAACTTTTTTTTTCGTCAGCGGAGAGGGCAGTTTTCGGCGAGGACATTTGCGACTTTTTTGAAAAAAAAAAATACACCGTATTACATGATGAAAACTTTGTTACAACGGCCAAAATTATGTTTATGTTACAACTTGCCTGCCCTCTCCGCCGACGAAAAAAAAAGTTTTTTGCTGGTTACAAAATTTCAATTTTTTGGAAACAAGAAGAATTTCCGCGATAACTCCGGAGAGCTCAAAGATATTCGCAAAAAATTTCCGCCAAATTTCTTGAAACACCCAAAAATAAGAATGTGACAGACTGCCAACAAATCTAGTATCATTTTTAGGGCACTAAATCCATGTTCAAAATCCAAAATCGCTCAAAAATCTAAAAAAAAATACAAGTATTCGTAGGGTTTGTGGTTATACTTTTGTTTTGCCCCGATTGACTTGATTTTTGGCATGGTGGTTCTTTTAGATCCTCTATTTGAGTATTTGAAAAAAAATTTCGAAATTTTCAATTTTGAGTGACCTATGACGTCATGAAAAGTCGAAACTTTGAGCTGTCATATCTCGCTTCGTTTTATAGGTATGGGCTTGATTTTTGGTTTCGTCGCGTATGGTACATAATGGGACAATCACTGTCGAAATTTTTTCGAAATTTCAAAATTTACGAAAAAAATCTCAAAAAAAGACCTTTTTTCGTATCTTTTAATTAGACCGGGGAATATTGAAATGCAAGCTTCTACAGGTCCATATCGGGAAAGCAAATTGATAACTAAGAGATAACTCCATGTATGTGTAGATACGGCCATGTACAAACTTACACTTACACAAAACCCCGTCATGATGACGGAATTTCTGGATTTTTTCGATTCCATTGAATTCTACGTACCCGACTTCCTATTAGTGCGTGTCTTTCTTTTTTGTAGTGCACTTCGTATTTTAGCTATGGCTTACTGTAAAAAATACGATTTGCACAGTGCGAATTTCAAAAAATTCGTTCTCGGCTCCCAGGTCGAAATTCGAAAAAACGGCTCGCTGATCGATTTCTTTTTGCTCGAAGATTGTCACAAAATTTTTTCAGAACATTCTACGTAGCCATGTCCTCAATAGAATCTCCCGACGGAAAACGAAATTTTTCGAAATTTTCAACATTTTGACTTTTTCAAATTTCTCGCTCTGATGTACAACAACGATGTCAAAAATGTCCAGCTATAGATTGTAGAGCTCGAAGAGCTCTACAAATTACCCGCTTACATCGTCTTCGTATCTTTGAAATTACGGCCGCCAGAGCGGCCGGAAATTTCGGTCGATTTTTGGTGCACCGTGCGAAAAAAATCGCCCTCAGGGCAGTTAGCGGGGTTGAACAAATTGATCATATGGGTGCTATAGGACACAAAATGGACTACCATCGTGCCAAGTTTCAGCTTTCTACTTGCAATATTCTGTGCGCACCGTGCGGTCGAAAAAAAAATTCGAAATTTCGGCCAAAATTCGGCCCTGAGGGCTTGGAATCGAACTTTTTCGGATTTTAATTTTGTCCGTCGTATTCAGCACATTGAACTGCTACAGAAACAGATGTCGATTCCTAAAACACGCACAGGTTGAAAAAGCAGTATTCGAATTTCCGAATTTTTCGATTTTACTTACTTTCACGAAAGTTACTATAGCTCGGGAACAAGTTCGAAATTCAAAAATCCCGCCCGTTACATGATAGACAATTTAGTAAGGATTCTACAACCAGAAGCTGGGATACGATTCCGAGAGATATGATCAGAAATCGTGTTTGAAGCGGCGGTCCCAAAAAATCCCGAATCGGAAAAGTCGTCAAATCCCAAAAATTTCCAACTAAAATTAGTCTAAAAGTTACATATTCGGAACCTCTATGTCATTTCGGACATAGTCGTATCTTTTTCCCCGGTACTTTTAGTGGAACAAGTGCCAGTTTTGAAAAAACGCCCACTTCCACGGACGAAAACACAAAAAAAGAGCGCGGGGAAGAGAGAGAGCGGGCAGAGAACCGCTTCCTTCTTCGTTTGGCGGGAGAAAAGAGAGAGTGGGAAAGGGGTGGAGGGTGGTTAGACAAAGGTTTTCTCTTTCGATTCCGGTCAGAGATAAGACGGAGAGAGAGCTGAGAATGAGGAGGGTGGTGAGGAACCGGTCATCATGACGGGGTTTTCTGGATTTTTTCGAGAAATTTTTGTAAAATTTTTTTTTGGTCCTGGATTCTCGGGATTTGGCCGTTTTAGGGCCAAATTTGACGGCGATTTCGGGAAAAATATTGGCTTTGGATAATTTTGAGTGCTGAGTCTATTTTTTCGAGTTTTTTAGTTGATTTTTCCTTATTGTATGAGCTTCTGATCAAGTTTGGGTGGAAGGGAGATTATTTTAGGTAACAAAATGTAGTCTCGCGGCGGCCGTAGGCCGTCGCCTCATGCCGGCGGGCTCTTTAACCCGGCTTAGCAATCTGGGACTGGCCTGAGCTTAGCGATTAGGGAAAGCTTAGCGATCCTAACTTTTGGGTCTAAAAAACGCTACAACTTTCTACTAGGCTCAGTCTAACGCGTAGCGTTTCTCTGCCGCGGCCGGAGGCCGTCGGCAAAGCTTTAGCGAGCGTTTATGTTGTTTTCGACGTTGAACAGGTCCAAATCGCGCGAAAAGCAGCGATACCGGGCGCAAAGTTGCCTTTGTCCGCAGGACTGCCCGAGAGACGTGAGCAGCCGCAGGCTGCGAAGTCTCGAGCCCTAGTCTAAATTAATGTGCTAAAATTGAAAAAAATTTAACTTTTCAACAGAAAAATCACATTTTTTATCTTCAGAGGTTTAAAAATGTGTTTTTCAAAGCAACAAGACCCTAACCTATAAGAATCAAGCAATTTTTGACCCAATAAACCTCAAAAATATTTTAAAAATTACAATTTTTTTCAAAAAATCCTAAAAAATTTCTCCTCCAAACCTCAAAAATTCCATTCCTTTACCTTAAAGCTGGATCCAATCTCGTCTCGGTAGTGTTCCGAGCAAATAACTCTCAATCTTTTGCAAAAAGTTTTTGTGTTTTTATCAAACTTCTCGCACATGATATTGTGCGGGTTGATTCCGAACTTATGGCTGGTCCCAAAGCTGGACTGTTTTTCGATTCGAACAAAGCAACGTTGGACGTGCTTCGGCAGGGCTTTTACCGGCACTTCCATGCCACAGACCATACAGGAATGGACAAAAGTTGAGTCCTCGTCTTGTTGGGCGGGTCGATGGTAAATCGGTTGGCCCGAAGCTAGAGTCTGAAAATTTTGGGGGTGATTTTCGATTATTTTGTTGTTGAAAGGCCACAATTAATTCTTGAACGTGTGGCGGACGTGATCCGTTGGCCAAAAACGCACCATTTTGCATCCGGGAAGTATCAAAAATGCAGCAAAATACCTCCGTCTCCAAGTGAAAAAACTCCCATTTCAAAAGCGCATCCGCTCTTTTTGTGAGGAAGCCTTCAAAACGAAGTATTTTCAATTGGAGAGGGAGACATTTTGCAACATTTTTGATACTTCCCGGATGCAAAATGGAACGTTTTTTGCCATTGGATCAGGTCCCTCATTGTAAGTTTGTACCAAAAATTTTCGACAAATTACAAAACCGACTTCCGTCGGACTCAATTAGAACCCCCATCAAATTTTTTTCAGTGGCCACAAGCACAGTGCAAAAAAAAAAACAGATTTTTTTTTCAAAAAAAAATTTGCACTGCGATTTCAAAATTTTTTCACCTCAAAATCCGAACTCACCGTAAAATACAGATTCAAATTCTGCGCACAATCGTCGATTCTCTTCAATGTTTCTTCAATTTCGAGCTGTGTATTCCTCAGCTTTTGTATTTTTTCTTCAGTTTCCACCTTCCACATGGGCGTCTGCTCGTAATAATCTTGAATCCTCTGCGGTAAAAGGAGGGCCAAACGTTTTCGAGCCAAATTCTGGCCACATTCGTCTGAGCAGTACTTGGATCCGGGACGGGCGGCACTTTCGCATTGGGGACCATAACAATGTCGGGGTACCTTCTCCTAAAATAAGGTCGACTTTAGCAAAAATTTTTGCAAAACACTCTGTCAAATTTAATAATTGGGGGTGAAAAATCATCTGCGAGGTTCTTCGTTGTCAAGGATTCTAAAATCAGACCAAAAAAAGTAAAAATCTCACCTCTTCTTTGGAGATTACAGTAACTTTTTGTTGTTGTGTGTCTCGATTGTTCTTCTCTCTGGCTTGGGAATTCGCTGTGACTGAGCGCTTCCGTGGTTTTCTTTCGCCGGAAGGCTTTCTTGGACGCCCAACCTTCTTCCCGACCTTCTTTGGCTTCGTTTTCTCTACTACAATATAATTCAAAAAAATTTTTAAAATTTGATTTCCTAAAAACAAATGATAAGATCCTCTAAATCACCTACCAAATTCATTTTTAACAGCAGTTTGTTGAATTATCTGCGATTGAACGCAGATTCTCTTGAAACACGGCCTTTTGGCTATACAGTTGAGACATTTCTCGCAATTACTCTGCCTTAGACATCCAATACAATCTCCACACCGGCCTTTGGCCGTGACATTGAGGTTCTGGAGGAATGAAGTCGATGGGAGGTTAAAATGTTGATTAAATTCTAAAATATGAAAGAAATTATATTATTCATGACACTTACCGAAATTCATTGGTCAGGCAGTCCAAGCTGAATCTATAATTAAAAATAAATGATTGAAAAATATATAATAAGGTCTAATAGTTAGATACCAAACTGGAATTTACCATTACATCGCCAATATCGACTGAAATTATTTTAATTTATTTATTAATACCCAAAACAAAAAAAAAAAAATATTAAAATCAAGAGTCATCCATTGCCAGCTGAATATCCTCTTCTATTTCATAGAACAGACCTCCAGCTAACTATAAACATCAAATTCAATCAAAGAAAACAGCAAAATCCATTTGAAATTAAACATTTCCCATGGATAACATCAGATGCCGAAGCCCCGACCCCGATTATAATGTGTAAACTGTCGGCCATGCTCAAACTGCTGATCCAAATCCGATTTCATCTTTTGAAGGTCATTTTTGAGGTCCTTTACTTCACTATCATCCACTTTATTCAACTTCAAACCACTTTCTCCCGGTTTTTTGTGCATTCCCAGAAGTTTCTCGAATTTCGATCGCTGAGAATCGTCGGAAGAAACCGCAGCAATTCTGGTAGACCATTTGATCTCTTTCTCCTCGAGTTTAGAACTCTCTTCAGAGGTTGAGGCTTCATGATTCTTCTTAAAAACAGTTGGAGGAGGCTTGGGTCGGACTGGAGATCGAGGACGTCTAAAATAAGGCAACATTTAGCTCCCAAACAAAGAAACACGTTTAAAAAACAATAAGAAAAGCTTCTTTCACCTCAATAGTAGCCTAAATTCGAAAGAAAACACAATAAAATATCAATTACCTTCGTCTTCCTTCACCATCTCTATCTCTGGACCTTCTTCTTGGTCTTTCTCGCGAGCTGGATCTCGATCTACGTCGTCGGCGTTCTCTGGACCTTGACCGACGTCTGTCCCGCCTATCAGCACCATCTCCATTCCGTTCTCGACGTCGATCTCGCCTTGGAGAACCGTTTTCTCTCTTACGATCTACCTAAACCCCAATTGCAATGTAGAAAAAAATTCCAACTTACACTTCGACTTCTGGAACGATTTCTATCTCTATCACGACTTCTGCGGTCTTTTCTGTCCCGTTCCGAACCTCTTTCCCCTCTTTCTTGCCTTCGATCGCGATTTCTATCAGATCGGACTTCTTTCTCGTCGCTCTTGGTATCCTGACTCAATTCTCCGCTTTCCAGGCTTTCATTCAGCTTCGTTGGCTAAAAGAATAAACAACCAAAATCGTAAACGCCGTCTTTGTATGGGGGAGATCTAAAAATGGTGAATTTCAAGAGATTCACTTACCGGAGATTCGCGGCTCATGATTGTGTTCCACAAACAATTGCAGGTGGTTAGAACAAGATCAGGGTGAATCCAATAAGCAAAAGTTATTGCTTGTGGTGCTAAAACTGATGTGGAATCCAACAAAGAAACAAGTTTTTGCGGAAAATTGTCGAAGAAAATGTTGGAGGAACACTTGACACAAAGCGCCTCATTTGGGTCAACACTTCCTCTTTGGGCCAAAGTGGTCGGTAAATTACGGTATTGATTTGATATGGCAAGAAAAATGGGAAAAGGGTTTTTTTAACATGTATTTCATATATGTGTTAACATTCACTTAGATTTTGCCCATTTTTTAGAGTTTTTTTAAAGTTTCGAAGGTCCACCAAAAAATTTCATATTCGTTTTATACAATTTCAGCTGACTTGCCCTAAATTTAGCGCTTAATTTGTTTGTTTTTCGAATTTTAGGGCTATATATACTCATAAGCCGATCTGTGAAATATTTTTGTATAAACACAATATCACATGCTCTTTTACAACCTCAATTAATATTATGAGGGGCTTAGTGGAGCCAAAAGGAGCTTCTGGATGCATTTTGAGGCGATTTCTGATTTACGGATGCTATTTCTGGAATTTTGTTTACGCGCACAGTGCAGTCAACTTCTGACATTTTTCGACCGCACTTTGCGGTCAAGATTAAATTAATGTTGGATTGTAGTGGAATTTAGGTTGTAAAACCATTGTCGAGGGTTCCTATATGACGGTTGTAGGATATTACAGTTAAATTTGCCTCGATTTTTACATGGTGTAAAGACCGGATATGTTATACGTTATAGTTATGTCACAGTTGATGTCATCGTTTTTCTCCTACAAAAAATCGGTCATATCGAAATTAGGGTGTCGTCAGGAGGTTGTAGTTGGAAGCAAAGTGTTATTTCATATCTTTTTTCAACAAATTCAGAACATATTATACACTGACAGTTACATCTGTCATGTACAATATTAATGTTTAGTCTCCGTGAAATAGCACGGAATTTGCAAACTATAAGTGTCTCTCTTCAAAAAGCTATACGAAAATGTAGCTAACATAAGCACCAGGCCTCCGTCTGTCGAGTTGTGAACACATTTCGATATTGTACTAGATATTGATGACAATTACTTCGAAACCTGGGCAAAATGCATGGAAATGAAGGAATTTTTTACAACCAATTCTATGTCATTGCCTACTAGATACAATCTGGATTTGCGACGACAAATTTTGAAGTCATTGAATCGAGAAAACAAGCGAGATTTACAAGAAACAGGAAAAGTATCTACCCATTTGTATGTGTTGTATAATATGGCACGAAAACCGGCAAAACTTACATAGTGTTTGAAGTGGGGCAAACAGGATGAGAAGTGAGCGTGTTTCGTAACATTTGGAGCACTTTCACTGTCATATCTATTCTTTTCGCGTCAACACAAACTTTGATTTTGTGCGAGGAGTAGGGCTGTAGATACCCAAAAAAAAGGTTGTAATAAGTGCCTACAAGGCATGACAAAGCCGTTGGATGATCTGCGGACGATCGGCGAAGGCTCGGCGGAGACTTCCAACATGTCTACTTTTTCTAATTTTACTACATTTTACTTTTTCCTTACCCCGAGTTACTCCAACATATACAAGATCAAAATTTGCGGCAAGAATATAAGATCCGTAAATTTTATCTAGATATTATAGATAAGGCTGGCCCGAAAAGTCGGGCCAGCCGCCCGAAAAAAGAGTCTCTTTTTTTGATTTTCTCTGACCGGCTCTTTCGATTTTCCATAGTCTCTCAAGAAGTTTGTTCTAAGTCTTGTCTGTGCCGGGAAATGTGCGCCTAGATTCTCAAGACTTGATGAATGACCTGTATAGATGGCTACGGAGTATTTACACAAGATCTTTGTCTTCAATACTTCCTTTGAAACCCCGAATTCGATGATTCAACCACAAAAACTCTTAATTTATTGGATAACAATGGCATAAACATAGAAATCGGTTACTCGAAACAAACGTACAAAGAAACAATTTGGTGAAAAAAGCGGCGAAAAATTTACACACACGCACACACACTATTCGAATATGTCCAAGATATACACTGTGGGGGGAGTTGGGTGCGGAGATCGCGCGACAGTCCGGAGGCCTAAGGTCATCACGAGAGAATTGGCATAACGTCATTTATTTGGTCACTGTTTTCGAATACAAGAAAGTTTACATAGAAGAGAAGAGAGAGAAAAGAAGCGACCGCTCGGCCTTTACGACTGGCTATCGTTGGGCGCTAGGATTATTAGTGAGGACTCCGCCGCGTCGTAGCCGTCCTCGTTGCTGGCGTTGCATTGCAGCGTGATGGAGGCGCGATCTGTCGCCGCCGTGTTTATTAGCACGTCGCCACCGTCGAGCACCTGCAAGAGCAAGGAGTTAGGATAGGGTGAAAATATCACAGTTGGAATATAATATTATCCATGACATCAAAAAACTTTTTTTGATGTCATGGATAATATAGTTATATTTCAAAGATGAAATATGACAGCACAACGGGTTATGTACTGTTGGAAAGCCCTTGAAGCCTACTATGCTACAGCCACAACTGGGGAACGCAGCTCGTAACTGGTTGACCCTATTGCACTATTCTTCTGAGGTCATCGACACTAATGGCTGTCATGGCTAATATAATGATATCTCAGTGGTGGATTTAGACTGGAGAATAAATTACATATCCTCTGAAAGCCCATCTAAGGTTCTATGCGCATGCCAAGACTTTTCATCACAGCTCTTGGCGCCTTAAAGATATACTCTATTTTTCTGAAGTCACCCATACCAATGGATGTCATGAATAATATCCCTAAAACTCAAAGCTCGAATTAGCCTACGTGACGTGTGGCATGGCGCATAAAGGGCTTTTATGTAGGCTGCATTATAGCGCCAGCATTATTAAACTATGCTATAGCGAAACAATTTAATCTGTGTTCTTTTAAGGCCACTCAATTTAATGGACGCCATGAATAATATAGCCAAACCTCGAGTATATTTGGCCTTTCGAAAATAACTTCTAGTCCAACTAAAGGCTTCGGTTCTATGCTACATCTACAGTAAACCCTAGGGAATACTAGTTGTACTAACATTTGTATTTCAATTTTTCAATTCAAAATTGCAAGAACCCTTGATTTTTTCAATGGTCGTGAAATTGACGTCAGCCTTCGGAACCCGCTGTTAATTATTCATTTCTACCTAAAATGGTTGTCTCAGGCGTCAGAAAAGTGCAAAAAACATCTGCGCATTTGTTAGTGCGGCCGAAATTGGGTTCCTATTTACCAGTCAAAAAAAAGAAAAAAAAATACAAACCTATACCCAAATGAACTTGAAACTCACATAAATAAAGTCTTTGAAGTCGGAGATCGGATACACCTTGCTCTCGTCCGCATCATCCAGCACCATCCACTCGATGTTGGGTTTGGGTTTGCCGGTGGCGTGACAAAATAGTTGCACAAACTGGCCCGCAATCTCCATTCGCGTTGCCGTGACCAGTGTGATGAGTGGCGCCTGAGGCGAGTATTTCGTCAGCGGGCTGTTGTGGGCTGAAGAAATGATAAAATGAAAATGTTGTAAAGTTGCTTTTGAAAAAAGTGAAAATACAGTAAAACCTCTGTATAACGAATCGCAAGGGAACAAGAGTTTTATTCGTTATAGAGATATTTATGGACTTTTTCAGAAAAATTTTTGTACAATTTTTTAGAAAAAAAAAATTTTTTTTAATTTTAAAAATAAAACATTTTTTGTACAGTAAAATGTCTGCACAACAGTCATAAAGGACAAACAAATTGTTTGTTATACTAATCCTTCCGAAAAAATCGTCGGATTGATTTTTGGCGTGTGCACTGTGCAAAAAAGTCGGAGTGCGAGCGACAGCCGAAAAAAAGCCTATTGCACGGTGCAAAATGCAAGAAATTGCACAGTGCAAAGAAAGCTTTTGTTTTTGCACCGTGCATGTCGCCGGACACATTTCTGGCGTTTGCACTGTGCGAAAAAATTGAGGGTGCGAGCGACAGCCCAAAAAAGCCTATCGCACAGTGCAAAAAGGAAAAATTGCACAGTGCAAAAAAACTTTTGTTTTCGTACCGGTCAAGTGACAAAAATGAAACCGGCGACTTTCCGGAGGGGCTAGTAGACAATCTTTATTGTACGAAGACTTATTTTGGTCTAAAATTAACTTTTATGACCTCAAAAATTCATTGTTATAGACAGTCTTTGTTGTATGGGAGTTTTCGGCACAAAAGTTCCATTACATTCCAAACCCATTAAATTCCCAGGCTTTACGGTAGCATATACATAAAGTGCAGCCAAAGTATTTCCAATTTACCCTTGTACATAAAATATGACATCCTCTGGAGAATTCGGAGGGATTTCCCGCGCTCTGCGCCTATGATTTTAGAATTTGGAATGATGAGAAATACGTAAAAATTAATGCAGCAAAAAGAATAAAGAAAAGAAAAAAACTATCGAAAAAAAAATTTTTTCGAAAAAAATATGTAGAGTGTAGCCTCTGTAGAACAAACTTCCTTACAACGAACACTGTCGATAACCGACAATTTTAGAGGCCCCAAAAGTCAATTATAAGCCTAAATGCAGCTCCGTACAACGAAACCTCTCTGTAACGAACAAATTTATTGGTCCCTCACAATTCATTGTATACTGTCTTACTGTAATTAAATTTTTTTGTGTTAGAATTTCGAAAATTTTTAAATATTATTTTTTTTACGAAATTTGCATAATTTGGTCGAATTTTCAAAAAAAAATCCTATTTCTTTCAGTCACTCAAAATTTCAAAAATCCTGTCGAAATTTACAACTACCCCCCGTCCCAGTTGTAGCCTACTTTTTAGTCGCTTTCACTATCTGACGACATTTGACGTCGCTCGAAAATTCGAAAAATTGTAGCCTCACGGGGCTTCGGCAGAAGCCCGCGGCTTCTCGCGAACTCCTCGAGAATACAAAAACAAATTTCACACCGACTACAATGCGGAGGTAAAGGCCAAAGTCATGGGATCCACCGGATATGAGTTTGACGTTATTTGTCGGGAAAATAATGAGCATAATGTCGCTGCTCACGTCGCTGAATGGAAAAGGAAATCGACGGAGTGCTCATTATTTTCCCGACAGACCGATATCAAGCTGTCGGGAAAATAATGTCGATTTTTCGCGCTTTGGCATTGCTCATCGTCGATTTGCGACGGCTAGCCGAGGGCTGGGGACTTGGTGTGCGACATCGACAAAGCGAGACCCATTATTTTCCCGACAGAGTAATGTGAAAAAATTGCAAAAAAGATGCGAGAAAGTTACTGTAGAATTTTTTTTGGGAATGAAGCATCATGGTCCTAGGACTGTGTACAAAAAATTAAGGCACTTTTGAACTAAAAATGGGGTAAGAGGGGACCAAAAACAAAAAAAATTGAAAAATTTTTAAAATCTCGAAATTTCCAAAAATCTAACAATAAGCTTCAAAAATTCACTTACATGGTCCCATCGTCACCAATGGCGGACTCTCGATGATGACGTCGGACTTGCAGCTGCTCTGCACCCTGCAACTCACAGTGTTCTCCTGGTTCGGCTTCAAGAACGGGTCCAGACAGAACCGATGCCGGGTCTGGCTGACGCCGAGAATGGTCTGCTCTGGGTTGCCCTCTAACGTGATGTCGCGCTGCGCCACTGAATGCACCAACTGCTTGTTCACGAACCAGTAGACATTTGTCTGAAAATTGGGGTATTTTTTGGATGATTTTTAGTTTTGAAAATGCGTTGAGAGAGTTTTAAGACGGCTAGAGATCGATTTTAGGCTAGATGAAGAGAAAAGAGGGCAGAAGAAGACAAGATAGTCCCGTAAATTTTGGAAAAAAACATCATGTTCTCCAATTTTTGCCTTAATTTTTGCCCTACGGGAAATTATATTGCGACGTTCAGATTTTGATGAAACTTGGCACAAATTTAGAAGAATTTTTTCAAAGATATATGCGAGAATCCTAGCTCGCGCTTTGCAGAAACAACCGAGATTTTTGGAACGAGAGTTAGCAAAAATTTTGACACTTTTTGCCAATTTCACCATGAAAAGTTTGATGTCTATTTCTACCGTAAAGAGTAATATTTCGAAAAAAAATCTAATCTTTCCGCGCGAAAAGGGCAAAGTTATGGCCAAAACAAGGGTTTCTCTCTGACCGCCCTCCGCATTTCGCGTGCTCTCTAGGTTTTAAAGATCGTTCAATATCTCGGCAGCGGTTCCAAAGCGCAAGCTAAAACTTTCAGGAATTGATACTTGGCTTATGCTGGAGTTGTATGCAAAATTTAAATAAAATCTGAGAGGTACTTTCCTTGTATATAAATCTGCTTTAAAATCCCAGGAACCTTGTAAAATCACTTTAAAATCCTTCCAAAAGATGTTGGTATGTTCTCTGTCGCCACTGTTCAGTCTAACACCTGCCCAACTGGGTTCATCTTTGATTTCTTTTTCACTCTCCAACCTTTTCATACGGTAATATTTCGGGGAATTTCAGTTCTGCACACAAAATCACCTGCATGTTTCACCTGATGCGAATTCCACCCGAAAAAAGGGGAGGAAAAAGATTACCGGTCGATTTGTTTGCTCAGGTTTTAATTTGGAGTTTTATTTGACATCACGACGGCAGAGTGGGGCTGCTTTAATTTACGGCGTCCCCGGGGGACGGCGCGCAAAGATGAACTGCATGGTGCAGGTTTCGTGGCGGGAAAGATTCGAGATTTTGACCGCCGGCTTAGTGGTTTTGGAGGGATGTTAGATTGGAAAAACAGGAAAATAAGCAAGAAGAAAGGATGCAATTTGAGAGAGAAAAGAATAAAAAAATATAGTCATCATTTTATCAGTCTGTCGGGAAAATAATGAAAGCAATGTCACTGCGCCGATGAAGTAAAAAAAAATCGATTTTCTCGCGACACAAGTTATTTTCACGTGCGATTTTCGATGCGACAGAATGCTCATTACTTTCCCGACAGACTGATAAAAAGTCTGTCGGGAAAATAATATGGATTTTTCATGCTGTGGCATCGCTTATGATGAATTTGCGACAACTAGCCGACGGGTTGCAGACTTGGTACGCGACAGCGACAAGACTCATTATTTTCCCGACAGACTGATATAACGCCTGTCGGGAAAATAATGTGGATTTGTCGCGCCTCGAAATTGCCCATCAAGCGACTTGGTTCGCGACAGCGACAAGACTCATTATTTTCCCGACAGACTGATAAAAAGTCTGTCGGGAAAATAATATGGATTTGTCATGCTTTGGCATCGCTTATGATGAATTTGCGACAACTAGCCGAGGGCTGCAGACTTGCTACGCGACACCGACAAGACTCATTATTTTCCCGACAGACTGATAATTGATGTCTGGCCGGCCCAAAATCCCACTATTTGTTTTGCGGCGGACGTCACGCACGTCCGAGAATCCCCCGCCAAACTCGCCACCCCAAGTTTGGCGGGCATTCCCCCCGCTCTCCCCCCAGAAAAACTCCTCACCTCCGGCGGCGACGTCATCACGTCGCACTCGATTAGGCGCTTGCACGCGAACTGCTCATCATCGCGCACCACGATGCGCGGCTGCTCCGCGAAACTCAGCGACGCCACGTCGCTGAGGGGCGGGCAGCGGCGCGCGTTCTGCACCGCGCCCTGCAGCGCCGCCGCCAACGGCGAGCGCGGGAACGCGTGCGCCACCAACGACTCCTCTGACCACACGAACAGCCCCAACAACAAGACGAACATGCCCATCTCCTCTCTTCTGCTTGCCGTTCTTGCGCACGTTTTGACCCTGCAAGAATTTTTGAGAGTTGGAGTTGTTGGCGCTAAGTGGCAGCGAGGAGGGATACGGGAGCGCTAAATTTAGCCACCTCGACGCCACCACGAGTTTATGAAATTACGCGGAAAATGCGAAAAAAAACGAAACACGGCCGCAAAAAGTTGGCGGAAACCCGAAATGGGGGGCGAAATTAGGCAAATTTGCGATGAATATGATGATGAAGTGGGTCGAGCGGAGGGCTTCCGGCAATTTGATGCGTAAAAGGTCATAGAGGGCATATCGAAATGAGTGTTTAAAATATCGAAATGAAAGTTTAATGTATCAGTCTGTCGGGAAAATAATGAGCAAAATGTTGCTGCGCCGATAGCAATATTAAAGTGAAAAGCAATTCGATTTTGTCGCGAGACAAGTCATTTTCACGTGCGATTTTCGCTGCGACAGAATGCCCATTATTTCCCCGACAGACTGATACAAAGCCTGTCGGGAAAATAATGTGGATTTGTCGCGCCTTGGCATCGCCTATCATGGATTTGCGACGGCTAGCCGAGGGCTGGAGACTATGCGACAATTACAGGGAGAGACTCATTATTTTCCCGACACACTGACAAATACAAAATTATTTTGATATGGCAAATGTGAAGGTCATATCAAGTGACAAAAGTACCAATATTTCAAAACTCATACCGCATGTACTCGGTTATGCAATCAAATTTACAAATTTCACGGCTAACAGATGAATTTTGCGGGTAAAATATCATATGAAATGTATATTCAGACCGAATATTTAAGTTGTAAAATCACAAGGAAATTTTTAAAAAAATTAAATATTAGTCTGTCGGGAAAATAATGAGCACAATGTCGCAGCGCCAATAGCGTCGCTGAAGTGAAAGCAATTCGATTTTGTCGCGAGACAATTCATTTTCCCGGCGGCGATACGATTTTCGACGCGACAGAATGCTTATTATTTTCCCGACAGGCCAATATAGCCGCTGGCAATTCCCGGCAAACTGCTGTTCACGTCAAGAAAAATGAATTATGTACCCCTTCGAAAATGACTACAGTAAAACCCCTTCTTCATAGGGCAGCCCAAAAATAGCGACGGGCCGCGACGAATACAAAGCAATTACATCTACAATAGCATGTGAAAGTCTAGCACAAGGTGAGGTCAATGTCGTACTCGGTCGTTTCGCGTCCGTAACTGGCCACGCCCCGCCCCTTCGGAATGGGAGGGGCGGAGCCGAGAGAGCGGCGGAAATGCGGAGAGCGCCCGACAAAACGAGCAAACATACAAAAAGAAGGGCAGAGCGAGATGCGGCCATGTCATCGGGATGTTGTAATGAGAGGCGTCGAAGGGGTTTTTGTACAATACAATCTGTTAGTAATTACTATGGCAATGACGAGCCGACCCTCTCGCGACGCTGATTGGCTGTGGAAAGATAATGAAGTGGAACGGAAAAAACGACTATAATAACATGGAACAGGGAATGTTGAGAACGCCGGGGGAATGAATTATGCATCTACCCTTTGTGTGGCTTGCACCTGATCCGAAATTACGGTTAATGCAAGAGAACATGTGGGACATTAGAAATTCCAAAATTATTCCGTTTTTGGGACAGCTAAAGGCCAAACGTCAGCCTGCGGATTTACTGACAACTTTGGAAGTTTCGTTAACATGCCATATTGGTCTGTAGGGAAAATAGTGGGGTCGTCCTTTCATCGAAAAAAGGGTGCTCTCGCGTACCATCTGTCCAGTTGTTTGATGACAAAAAACGAGGCTCTGTCCCGGCTAGCCAAGAGAAACCCAGCCAAAAATTCTTCTCCACAATTCTACTTGCTACAAAATGGCATCTCAATTAAATCTTGGTCAGCTTCATCTGCGCTGACGCTCAGCATAGCTATACGTTTGAACTGCGCCAATAAATATTTGTATGCATGTACGCTCTTTTTGATGCAGCAAGCCTAGATCCTTTTTTTTGAAATTTCATTTCACAAGCTATTGAATATCAGTCTGTCGGGAAAATAATGAGCAAAACGCCGCATCGAAAACAGGACTGCTTACACGTAAACAGTCTAAAAAATGTAACTACACCACAATTCGAGCAAATGACGTCTCGACAAGGTTAAAATTTATATTTTCAATTTGTACGGTATTCATCTCCCCGCCGGCCTACATTTACCATGTCTCGCGACGTATGACAGACGCTACAATATGCAAGTCCAGCCTTGCAAGAGCCGGAAAAACAAACTTGCAACAAAAGACCGCAAAGTTCTAAAGGAAGCTGCAAGGCTATTTACATGTCTGCCGAATTCGACGAATAATTACTTGAATATTGGTAATTATTCCGTTTCGTCAGCGCCCATCTCGCTAACGAAGTGCGGAATACAACAGGCAGGGTGTCAAAACAACATCAAAACAAGCGGATACGATTGGTGGCTGGTATGTAGTCGGTAGTTTGGGTGGCACAAAAATGGGTACTATACATACTTGCATACTTGAGTCTGACGATGAAATGGGGTGTTTGTAGGAATCTTAGAAGTCGTTGGAATTGATTTTAGCGACATGCACTGTGCAGAAAGAATCAGGGTGCAAGCGACACCCGAAAAAAGCCTATTGCACGGTGCAAAGATAGACACGGCTCTGGAGCTGGGCTGAGCGAGGTTGAAACGGCCCTACACGTCCATCCAGCCCATTTACTTAATCGTTTCGAAACTTCGTATCGTTTTCATTGATTTAAAAGAGAGACGAAATGCCGCGAAATTATCGGCACTTTTTCTCGCCCTTAATAATTGGTTTTTCTCGAAAAGAAAGAAGAAAGATAAGAAAATGGGTTCAGTGACATTTCGTTTTGAACGAATCACCAAAAAGGGGCGGGAAATTCCTTGTTCTATTTTGGATTGACGTGAATTAGGTTTGGTAATAAAAATAAAACGCAAGGCCATTAGCCGGTCTCTTGAAATACTGTAGACGATCTTTGGTAATTTTTAAAAAAAATAGTTGCAATAAAAAAATGTGTCAAATCTCAAAATGAATGGAGTATTTAGTATATTCACGGCCCGGCCATTAGACGGCCAGGCGGGGCAGCGGGAGAGTGAATTTATAAGGGTTCCGGGATGGGGCCGAGCTGCTTGGGGCCGGACTGGGTTTCGATTTTTGGCCCGGCTCCAGCGCCATGCCTATGCCGAAAATTGAGCAGTGCAAGGTTGATTCTTTTTCTGACAGTGCGTGTTTCAAAAATCACTCAAGCGACTTTGCGAACGCGTACATGAACTATTGTGTTAATGGGCCCGTATTCTGTTGGGCACTAAAATTTTGTTGGTCCAGTCCCCATAATGGTCTATGTAAAGTCCCCTCGGTACCATTCCCAAAAAAATTGGCGAAACTGTAATTGCATTTCACCGTGGGTACACAAACTATGCGGACACAAAAGTGCAACCGCATTTTCTATACATAACCCTCAATAAACCAATTTTAGCCATTTGTCAACGTTGGGTTGGCGAAACTTTCTGTAATTAATCGAATTTCCGAAAGCAATGGAATTGATTTAATGGCGGCATGGAAATGTGAAAACTTATTGAATTTGGGAAGCCTTGTGGTTGTAAATTGAAGGGAATATGGGAAAATTGAAGTTTCGCTTCCAAAAGTGACGCAATGAGACATCTTGTTCTTAGTTCTACACTAGCATGGACGCGTTCCAATTGTGACACTAGGATTTTGACGAAACTTATCATAAATTTAAATTGGTTATTTTGAAGACACGCGAGACTCCTAATTTGGCTTTTACAGAAACCACTGAGATTTTTAGGTCAGGAGATGGTATAATAGAATTGGTAACCACCTACTATATTAGTCTGCCGAGAAAATAGTGAGCGCTCTGTCGCATCAAAAATGGCATCGCCGTTGAGAAAATGAATTGTGTCGCGGAAAAAACAGTGTTTTTTCTTCAGCGACGCAATTTTCTTAGCGACATTGTTGGGCTCATTATTTTCCCCAGAAAAAAACGTCAAGGATCCCAAGGCTTTGGCCTTCAGCTTGCATCAACGAAGTGTACACGGTGCGGACCGCAGCATCTTCATGCACTTACAAAAATACTGGGGCGTTCTCAAAGTTGCTGGACACTGTGAAGTTGATCTTTTTTCACCGTACATTTGAAAAATCGCCGGGGCGCAAGGTATTTCAATTTTGTCGCCGCGAATTTTGCGCTCGCGATTGACACAGCGCATATAGTGACAAAAGTGCGCCGCGAAAACAGATACTTTTTGAAAAAGCGTAGTACTCCAGACATAGTAAAATATATATCATCTACGCTCATCGACTTCTAAATTAAGCAGCCAGACATTGGCCAGCTCACATGACCTCCGATTACAGTTTAAGTGAGCAGAACGAGTGCCAACCGGAAATTGCCGAGCACTTCCAGTTCCGGCGCAGACGTCAAAGTGAATGAATCAATGTCGTACGTGCACACAATGGTCTCAACTACCCACCATGACAATACATTGTAGCTAAACATGTGTAAATTCTATAGAGCTGTGGAAATGCCAGATGCGGCGGAAAACGGTGATGCCATTCGGTGTTAAACAATTGATTTGTGGTTGACATTGTAAGTGTCATATAGAGGAAACAGTAAGGGTACAAGGTGCATCGTATTTGGTGAAAAACTTGCGCGTGTTTGTACACCATTAACATTGTAGTAGGCTACGTTTAGTTTTCGGTGATGCGACAAAAGACCACGTCGCCAAATATTATACGAATTGTATTCATGTGGTGGATGACGGTGATGTAATTCTCGCCGTCGATACATTTTTTGTCCTCATTTGTTCTTCATTTTGAAAATAGTGCTTGCGCCTTTCAACCGCCTACAATGACCTCTCTCTATATATTAAGGCTTTGTTTATTAATGCCAGTCATACGACCCGACATATATATATTACACATCATAACGCCGAGATATGCAATAAGTGTGGACGCCTACAA